TTTTGAAAGTTTGTATTTTTCCCTTCAGCAATGCAAGAAAATGCCCTCTGATGATAGATCCTTAGAATAAATGAATAAAGGATATGGAAAAAGCCAATAGTTTGCTTATAATCAAACTCAGTGACCCTCAGTTTATTACAACACTGGAAAACTGATTCAGTTTGGCAACCCTGGAGGGTTAATGACTCAAAGTGTAAATTACAGAAGGACCTGGAGGGGGCACAATTAGCTAAAAAATGAAACTGGTGAGTATCAAATGTTATAGTTAAGGAAAACAGATTTTTTTCCCCCTTCTTTTGAATGAAATGAGTACTATAGTAATTGAAGCCCTCACCTCAGGTTATAAGATACTTCTTAGCACAATATAATACTCAGTTTAATTTATACCTTTTTATTGCTTTATGAGAATTGCCATTTCTTTGTTTTCAGGTTGGAATAATATTATTTCTAGAAAGTAATGTTATTTTTTCTTTTCAAGAGTCTAAATACCAGATTGCTAGGCTGTGACCATTAATGCTTCTCATATTCTCTGTAGCATCTTTATTGCAAGTACTCTTAGTACCTCAAAGAGAATTAAAGTAATGAAACACATTCAGTTAGCCTATTTTTCAAAGGCTAACTGGACTTCAAGTAGAGATGGATTGTTTATTATCCATTATTTCCTTCTTGATTTTGACATTCTCATATGCTTATGGTGAAAAGTGAAGCAGACTTAGTCACCCAAAATGATTTCTGTGGCATTTAGTTTGCTGTTATTTTGCTTTTTAGAAATGGTAGCCCTAAACTACTGTTCTAAACCATTGGCAGCAGTAACAGTGATAGCATTTTAGTTGCTTTCTTGCAAATTTATATCATATTACAGAAAGAAATTAAAAGTACATTTCTTTGATTAATTTTTCAATCACCTGAATACTCTCCTTATCTCTAGATATTGCTCAGTTAATATTTCTATTGTTTGAACACTGTAAGTACACATTATTCATATGTTTTGTAAAGAACAATCAATAAGTAATATAAAAGGCAACAAAGTCCTACTAATTCTTACGTTATTTTGAAGTGCTACTGGAAAATATTGGAGAAGAACTTGATCCTATCCTAAAGCCACTTTTACTCAGACATTTAAGTAGTCAGGAAGCTTTTGCCTTGGAGAATCCACTATTGAGTGTGCTCCTGAATTCCACTTTATATTACAACTAAGCTGGGAAATCCACACTCTCTTCCCGAAACATCTGTTAAGGTGAGAATTTTGAAAATAAATGTGCAACTTGTTAAAACAATGTTAACAATGTTAAAACAACGTTTTAATTTTAAAATGGTTCCTTGGCTAAAACCAGGGAAGAGTTTCTGGCATTTGTTCATTCCTCATTCCTTGCCAACACTTTTTTTTTCCACTGCTGGATAACTGGTATCATCTTAAAAGTGTTGATGTTTCTTATATCAAATCCTCCACCTTGCAATACTGTCATTCTTTCATATAGTCAGGAATTTATTAATTAATTAATTTTATCATCTTTCCCAGTCTGGATCTCCTGATGCTATTTAGTCACCTTTTATTATGACAATATTTACCAGACTTAACATAATAATCACCTCAAATGCAAAATCTACATAAGCTTTTTTATCTGTAGTATAGTTAGGGTCAGGTGCAAGGTCTGGGCAATCAAAGTTTAGCATAACTGTTAAATTAAAGATACTGCTAGTAATCATTTAAGTCAGATCTTAATATTGTGGTATCATATTTGAATGTACCTTTGAGGTAGCTTTTACCAACAGGGCAATCTGTGTTTTATAAACTTAGCTCTTTGACTTTAAATCTTACTATTTTATATCTCAAAAACCCCCTGTATGCCTATGTGCCTAAATTAAAGTAAGCAATAAATAAAATCATCTCATTTTGATTCAGACCCTTTCTGTCAGCAGAAATATGAACATACAGGACCTCAATCCCAGCTGAACAATATGCATTCCCAGGGAATGATTGGTGTAAGCCCATTCTGATAATTTTGTCCACACAGCCTCACAGAAAATTCTCTGTGAATTAATGATTCACATAAGACTGTTTGTCTTAGGCTATCTTCACTAGTCAGACTTGTTTTACAACAGGCTTTGTGCTGAGATTTTTTTCTTTTAATCATTCTTGTCTCATGGAAACCACGTTACTTCTGTAACTTGAAAAAAGTTTACACTTTGTCCCACAGTCATCTTTGTGTCAGTATTTTGTGCATAAATAGTATGTATATCCATTTAACAGATGAGGAACCAGTAACTTTGAAAGGACTTAATGCTAATAAAAAACCAGGAGTATTTATATATTAAAGATGATCTGTTTCTTGTTAGCTGAATGGAAGAAAAAAATAGATGGAACACAAGACTGAGAAGGAGACACAGTTCAAACAACATAATGTGCTCTTGTTCTCGATCTTCTGTGAAAAGCTTTCCCCTTTTTAGCTATTATAAATCACATTTAGGTTTCAGAATTATCACCATGCCTGAAATACAGGAATAGTCCTCTGAGTAGCTCTCTGCAAAGGGATTGGTGACCTTGGTAACTGGGAAAAAGGCATAGCACTTCTCCACATCTTTGTTCCTACCTTGAAAAAAGTATTTGAAGTAGTTGTGCAAATTCTTACACTTCTCCTTATTTTTACTGAGGTATTCAAGGTATTCAAACTTAAACGTTTATAAGAAAACAGATGGCCTCTTGCTTTGAATATATTTGTATTATAGTGTATTAAGGAAAATACTCCGTAGAGTGGGAAACATATTTCAGGTTACCTTTGGAGATGGACTCTTGATTTTGGCCCTGGTATTCATAACAAATGTGCTCTTGTTCTCTCTTTGTGCCCCTCTCAAGAGGGAACCCTCGTCACATCTGAGGTTTGTACTACTTATCACCATGCACTTAAATGGAATAGTTTTACTCTGAGTAAAATGGTCATGCATTTAAGGATTGATTGGGACCTTGGTAACCAGAAAAAGGCATAGCACTTCTCCACATCTTTGTTCCTACCTTGAAAAAAGTATTTGAAGTAGTTGTGCAAATTCTTACACTTCTCCTTATTTTTACTGAGGTATTCAAGGTATTCAAACTTAAACGTTTATAAGAAAACAGATGGCCTCTTGCTTTGAATATATTTGTATTATAGTGTATTAAGGAAAATACTCCGTAGAGTGGGAAACATATTTCAGGTTACCTTTGGAGATGGACTCTTGATTTTGGCCCTGGTATTCATAACAAATTTTAAAATTGCTGCTCTTTTCTGCCCCTCTCAAGAGGGAACCCTCGCTTCCTCTGAAAGTCATGTACTACTGAGATGTAACTGCACTTAAATGGCTTATTTTACATTATTTTGCTCACAAAATGGTACATGCATTTAATGATTGCTTTGGGGTAACTGACCAGAGAGTTTATTAGAAAAAAGGAGATCTAAATGATTCGTAATAGGTCTCCAGAGTGCACACTCTTAAAGTGATATTAATGGAAGGTTGTTTTTTTTCCTGACACCTGTAGGCTGAAGATTCTAAAGGATCATTTTGTCTACTTGCTTTATGTCAATGTCTGTTGTTCCCTCTTTGAGAAGGACAAGCTGCTCTTCTCTTGAACCTGAAACTAAATGCCTAGAAATTGGGGAAGGAGGATGCTAGGCAGAACATGAGCTCCTTCATGACTTGTTAAATCAAAATTACTCAGAATGAAGTCTGTCTGCATAGCTCTGTGCCCAGCTCTCTGTAGGCAAGCCCAAGAAAGCTCACCAGCAGAGCTGCAGTACCAGTTTCCAGAAAAGTATACCTAGGTGGAACTGTACTGCAGGCCACACAACACAACACTGCTGCCACACAACAACTGCTGTTCCCAATCTGATAACTGCAATAACAATGTAACAGCTGGATTGTTCACAGGCCATTTACAAACCAAGTTCTCCGGTGCATTGTTGGACTTTAATTTTCTGATTCTTGATTTCCTGCTGTCATTTTCTGCACTCAGCTGCAACTCAACTTGTAGTTACCATGTAATACTGTGATGTGATTGTCATTGATTATATGATTATCATCATAATTAATGACTGACACTAGAATACAGTTCTAACAGAAAGAGGGAGGTAAATGCATATTCAGGTTTCCCCCACAACATTTCTTCACTTCCTAGAGCAGAACTTTGAGTTATTATTGTTTGAAGACTTAAAAATTACTCTAACTTCTCTAAGAGAAGTTTCTTAGATAAACCTATAATTAAAGTTGGGTTTTTTTAAAAAAAAGATTTAAGCATGCCAGCCTCATTGCTGTAACTGAAAACACTTCATGGAATAATGTGTCAAGTTAAAAGATAATTTACTCTCACTACAGGTAATTCACAAATGCTTTAAAGAACATTGAAATACATGTTTTTAAGATCCTCAGCATTTAGGATTTTCCTACAGAGTGGCAAGACAAGTTGGGGGAGTTCCAAAGGATGCTTATTGTTCATCACCTAAGACATGACAAACCACGTACAAAACTTTCCCCTTATTGAAAAATATCTGTCCATCTTAAAAACAAAAACTATTTGCAAGTATGTATTTCAACTGTGTTGTCTACAACCATTCTACAATAGCCTCTCATAAAGGAAAACAGGAATTAATAAGATTTCAAAAAACCCCAGTGAGTTTGAAATTATAACAAGAAAAACTTTTCAAAACAGAATAGTAGGCCTTTAGCTTTTGTTAAGTTTCACTGTACACACCAAAATCCCCAGAGCTCTTCCTTGTGACTGTCTTACAAACCTTGTGTCTTCCCTTGTTCAGCACACCTGCTCTTTCTGCTGGATGTCACTATCCGTGACAATTTTGTCGATTCTCAAAAGATAATTTAACAGTAAGCAGGAGTGCTTTAAGTAGGTACTTAAAGCAGAGGGATCCACTTGGTTCTATGGGAAGTGTTGTGAAGCAGAACTGTTCTGATTTGAGTATGTCTTGGTATAAGCCTTTAACAGATATCACAAAAGGTACTCAGAGTTCTGAATCTTTATTCCAAAAAACAAAAAAATCAGTCTGCTAAACCCCACAATAATATAAGTATTTGCTTAGACATTTTTCACATATTCACAGGTTAGTGGGACTACTATTAGTCCACACTTAAGCATAAAAACAAAGCATATTATGAAAGACAGGAGTTAGTATAAACAGCTTTGAACTCTGTTCCAGAGACCCTATGAAGGGAATTCTCTACACACATTTCCTCCTTTATATTCATACTCAGATAAAGATATGACTGTACCACATAAAGAAGAGAAACTTTTAGAATCGGACTTGACACTTCACTTCTCCTGGTCTTATTTTGACTGGCAGTGTGAGCCTTCTGAGTGCTGAGTGGATGGATCATCACTGAGAGGCAGTGGCAGTGGTGGTGTGTACTGATGCTTGGAGACAAAGTAATCCACAAGATGCCTCCTAGTTGTGGCAACTTCTTCTTCAAAAGAGTTTATTATCCGTCTGCCAATTCTGCACTTAAAGCAAAGCAAAAATTGAGACTTTCAACCGAGAAATTTAACTGTCCAGTTCAACTAGATTCAAATCTTAGATCCTCAAAACCCCACTGATCTGCCACAAATTCTAGCTTAGAAGTCTGCTTTTGTCTGTGGCTGTTAGAATGGTGCAGAGCAGTTTGGCAAGTGTGTCATATGCACGCCCCATTTGATTCAGAAACTCCTCCACCAGCCTTGCCAGTAGGGCTGAGTTCAGTGACCACTTCTGGCTATGTATAGTATACCTTTTTCTTTTAAAGTAAAATGTGACCCTACTGTTTAGCTGCATTTTACATCACATCAGGGAGGGAGACTTAACTTTGATCTTCTGTGTGAAGAGGCATGATCTCACTCCTCAGGGCATGTTAGGACATCAGTGCTTCAAGAGGGCAAACAAGCCCAGTGGATTGCCCTCCAAGCTATTGGTGACAGGATTCTTGGGCACAAAGTGTTCCCACTTGAAGCTGCTGCTTCAAGTTTTCTATGTACTCTACTTAGAAATAAAGTAATATTATTTCTAAGACCCTTTTTGTACCTTGAAACACTGCTCTAAATCATTCACAGTTCAGGTTGGATAACATCAGTGTCTCACTCTTAATACACCTTTTAAGTTATCAGACTGCTCCCACTGCACCATGTGATCCTATTCTTATGTATTTTAATCAGTTGCATAGGGACCTTAAATACTTAATTTTGATGTTCACCAGGTATGTATTTAATACAGAATATTATTAGCAAAGCAAAGACCTTATTTGTGCAAACCCACCAAGAAGTAAGATGCAGAACCTTTACTGCAACTTATCAGGGAGCTTGGGTTACTTGATTCTTAGTATCCATGGGAGTAGGGCTCATATATCAAAGATCAGCTGATCTTGATTAACAGAGCAGCTCAGTTTTGTGTGCTTTTTTACATGCCAGTACTGTGGCACGAAACCCCGGGATCGAGGAGTAAAACTGGTGAACTGTAAAACATTTGAGATGGGCTTTAAAGTTTGAAAGACTAATTAGGCTGATTTATATGTAAAACTGGACATGTGAAGCAATGATCTGGTCAAATTCTGTCTTTTCACATGTGTTGTTCATCCCTCCTGAAGATGATAGAGCTGCTCATTGTTGAGCTTCCTGGATTGGTTATTGTACCCAATATATTTTTTTTCTGCTGTAATAAGTTGCTGGTTTCCTCTAAAGGAAACAGGTTTGCATTCAAAAGCCAGACAATAGACTACACTGAGAAGTGTCTGGGTGCAGATTTCTTAGCCAATAATGCATGTAAATCATTACTTCAGTATAAGTCATGTTCTAACCTTATACCATCACTCCTGGCTGACGCTTGGAAATCTTAGAGATAGAGGTTCTTGTTTACGTTCTCGCTTTGAATCTTATATGAAGATTATTTGGTTAACACTTACAATGAATGTTCTCAGCCGTGTCATCTCCAGCATGTAGTACTCCTCCATTGTAAGGTCTTCAAAGTTCTTAGGAAGAGATAAAAAGTCACAGGTGTGACGTTTGGTGTGTTCCTCCCTGCAAAATAAACCCAGAATAAGAACATATATTGAACCCATAAAAGTTACGTTTCAGGAGATGAAGATCTGAAGTGACAGGTCTCTTCAGTACTTCTACTGTCTATCAGCAGAACAAGTATCATATAGAACACACAAGAAATAGATCTAGTGGATCTCAGACAATAGCTATTTGAACTATTTTAAGGTTATTAGGTAAGATAAACTTCAGTTTTGTGAACTGTCACGGAGGAAATTGGTAACTTTATAATGACTAAGGGAATGTTGTCAAAGAAGTTTGGAGAAATACTTCAAGAATTTTGTTGCATCTGTGCTTACCATGGATCATCATTTTGCTCCCAGCCTTCCAGTTCTAACAAGCAAAAGAAACACTTTGCCACATCTGGTTCATTTACATTTGGACAGTGGATGAATCCCGCCTTTGCCATCTGCAAGGGACAGTTTAGAAGTTGACAGCCTTATCCCACACATTTGCTCGTGTTTACACGAGCAGACTTAATTCTGAAGAGCTTGCAAACAACACCTTTCCTCACAATGTCTATCAGCACAGATCAGGCTGAAAAAGAAATTTTAAGTGTGAGGACTGCAAGCAGGTAAAAAAGCAATTAGTAAAGAACAAGGAATAGGCTACAAGTAGTGAAAAGATTTCTGCATAGCTGTGGTATCAGCAGGCAACTGGAATAGCTTTGTTGTACCAGATAACAACCAGTAAATGCCACGATACACAGGTATTTCTGTAGCAGTGCATGAGATCTGCCATAGTTAGGACTTTAGAGAATATTTTCAGAGAAAAAAATGTCTTGGACATAGAGAACCTTTATATATAAATTATGTGGGTAAAATGCTACATCTTGGATTTCTATGTTTTCCTGTCACTTTAGAATCATGTCTGATCAGAACACTAAAAATTCAGTTTATTTCAGTTTTCCAAACCTTCTCAGATAACTCCTGAAGTATGACTCATCTGAGATCCAGCTTGAAGGTTTCATGTGTGTGCCTAATTAGAAGTCAGGTAGATTTTTTTATTTTTTTTATTTTTTTTTTTTTAATGCTCAAGTCAAAGCCTGCAGGGACAGAAACATTAAGTTTTCTAAAGTTTATATATTTTCCATATTTGAATTTTAAGTAGCCATCATTCTGCTACCTCATCCTTTCCTGCTGGATGTGTACTTCTCCAGTCTAATGTAGGCTGCTTTGCCATGAATAGAAATTTGCAATCAGAAAGACTACATAATACTAGAAATCAACTTTTCAGTGACAAGAACAAAAAAAAGTAACTATATTAAGTTCTGCAGCTAGACTAGTAGACTGAACACAGAAAAGCCAACCATCCTACTACAGTATTTCTGAGGAACAAACAGAGCAAAGTTGGAGTATTTAACTTTTCATCTTCATCAAGTTTAATGGGCTCTTCTTGAGCATGAACGTACTTAACAGTGACTCCACATTTAGGCACAGTATATAAAAAATAAGGCACAGGAAAAATAACCATTTTTCAGACTTACATTCTCCGGAGTGCACTTGCAGTTCTCTTGGAAAGGCCACTTTGTGAAGGTTTTTAAACGGTTCTCATACTCATACATCTCCTTAAAATCAGTCAAGAGCTTGGAAGCTGAACTAAGCTCTTTCAAGAGCATCTCCATCTATAAAGCCCACAGTTAACAGAGCCCAGAGCCTCTCTCCTGCTCTCAAATTTAAGGCATTACTAATTGGTGACACATTGCACCTGTAAAGCAGGGTAAGTTTTTAAAGAAAGCAAAAACACAGGTGAGTTTATGAGCAGGACAATCAAGAGAAATGAAGCTACTGGAAGTTTTCCCCCCTCTGGTCACAACGAGGATAATATATTTTAAAATTTTATATGCTAAGTTGCTGTATTAGTAACTAGAATTTTTAACATGAAGTTTTTAACATTTCAATTATAAAATCTGCAGGTGCTTTCAAGGAAAAAATATACAGTGTGACCAAGTACACAGAATGTGACAGAGGGGTTGAATTAACATTGCTATTTGACTCCTTTAGTGTTTCTTAGACTTCGCTTTCAGATATTAAATCTTAGGATTCTCTTTGCAAATACTATTGCATTTCTTTAAAGATGAGCTGGTGGTTATTTTATAATATTCTAAAGATTCTATTCTATTTTAAAATATTTTAGAGTATGTCCAGAGATAGAATTAGTGATAATATTTTGAAGAATTACATCTGTAAGGGTTTACAGGATGAAAGTATTAATCTGTCACTTTATAAATTGTCTCTTATTTTGGTACAGAGCCTACTTAGCTTCAGCAGGAATTTTAAATACCAGTGTGTTCAAGTCTGCTGTATGCAGCAGCTTTCTAAGCCAAGATCTTAACAACTTTGAAAGGTGTTGCATTATGAGACTTGAAAAATTTAAATCCTCTCCATAATACAGATGGAATAAGTGCAGAAAATAACCCAGCATGTCAGTCTGTCCAGATGTGGTGACAGAAATGAGATTAAGGAACATCTGCATAGGACTTTTAATTTCAGCTTTATTACAGCATCGTTTTTGCCTAGATTTACACATGCTAAATCATTGATTCCTCTGGGACTGTACTTGTATATAATTTTATATGCAGGGATACTGTCCTTGAAATTGATATTCAGATGTTTAGAGTAGTATGTGTTACCCTAAGTAGGGCAATTTAATTCTGTTTTTCCTTTTTCTTTTAGATGATACAAATGGTAGAAGAGTTCAAAGCCTGGGCTGTGCAACCACTGATATTTACACTTTCACCTGGGGCTGACTCCATGATAGCCCTTCTGTAGCTTGCTGATGATCAAGTATTTTAATATCTCCAGACTTTTTTAACATAGTTGATGTTTGTGTACACATATGTGTACATATGTGTATGTTTATGTGAAGCAAGGAGCTTTATTTAAGTAAAAGTTGAAATGCCAAAGTTTTTAACTGCCCAAATTGATCTTCTGATTCTCTTTAACAAAAAGCACTAAATAATGCAGAGGACATTTTTCAGGTATGAATAATTTGTCTATTGTTTAAAGAAAATGGTAGGTTAAATATTTTTTGGCACATTTTATGATCTTGTGAAGTCATGATCTATTTAACTAATTTGTTTGTGTAATCTCAAATTTAAAATGCAAAAAAGAAAAAAACTGTAATGGTTTAAATGTTTATTGTAAGTAATCTTATCTGAAAATGCTATTTTTTTCTAATATGCATTAATTGTAATATAATACTTAATTAAAAACATCATAGTAATATAGGACCTTAGAATCTTGGGTGACATTTACACATCAGAATTGCAGAATTGAAGTACGGATTTTTTTCACTTTGACTGTCGTTATTATGGCATTCAAAACAACAACAAAAAAAATCCCCAGTAGCCCAAATCAGTTCTTATGTAACAAGAGTACTGTTAGAACACTAGAAAGTTGCTGGTTTGGGGTAAGATGTATTTCTTGCATTTCCTGACTATTATTCTGTCAGGAACTATCATTCTCTGCTGTTGAGAATGACAGACATACTTCAAGTCTCCAGCCACCAAACTGCAAAGGTATCTTGCATTTTATAGTAGATTTTCTACATCCTTCAAGAGTAAGATCATATTGTTTTCAGGAGTATTTTTAAACTGTCAGAATCTTACAGTTCCAGATTAAATGGATGTGTAGTTGGAGTATTTCAATGGAAGACAGATAAGAGGTTTTAGTGAAGTGGAATGGCACGAAAAAAAAAGATTGAAACTGTATTTTAAACTATACCACACATTAAATATCATATATTCAATACCTGATCCTGACTTTTCCAACAGCTGCAGAAAGCCTATTAGTAATGTTACAACTCTGTGATTCAGTTAAAGCAGACCCTGATGACTGTGTATATACGGTCTGGGGGAAAAAAACCCTCACAAATTAAATAGGTGCTTTCCACTGAAAGGCAACTAGTTTTGATAACTGGCAATAGCGCAGTGAATTTAATTTTTATTTTTATTTTATTTTAATTTAATTTTTATTTTATTGCTCATCTCCTACTTCTTCAATTGAAATTTGTGGTATGGTATCAATAAGACAGCTCTCTAGTTAAAAAAAAAATTAAGACTGGGAAAATCTTCACCACTCTTTTTAGAACTAGATGTCTGTTTGCAAGCATATTTTACATGATTTTACATTATTTTTCTATAATTAATGTAGATCATCTAACTGAGATCTATATTTTGCTAAACTGTCTCAGTTGAAAACCAAACCAAACCAAAAGTTCCTACACAATGTTTTTGTGTAAAGGCCATAAATCTACCTTGATAAGGAGAAAAAAAAAAGCATAAATATTGTTTGAGCAATGTTTTATAATATAGTGGTGTAAAAAAATTGCATAGGTGCATGGTCTTGTACACATAGCTGCATGTCATGTATACTGATTATATATAATGAATATATAGCTTTAAAAATAAAATCACTTTGAGAGTTTAAGAGAATATTTAGAACTGGTGCTCATGACAGTTTAATGACCATGCTGAAGGCCTTTGTGTGTCAAGAAGTTACCCCTGACTCACAAACAGTCAGTCAGTGACCAGAGCAGGAGATGCTGGGCTTTGAGTGACTCAAAGACAGCACCACTGTGCAGGACACAAGAAAAAAATATGGTTTAACCAGCTATGAATTATTAACAGTATTTCACTTGGTTTTAAGGTTGTGTTCAAGACATTGCTGTGAGGCCTCTGCTTTTTCCATGCTCTGGTACAAGAAAGGTGGAATTTTGGGCCGTTGGGTTGGAACATTCCATACAGCTCCAATGCGACTGACCTGCACAGCAGCTGCACACCTTCCTTGACCAGTACAAGGTACAGCAACTGCTCACAAGGGTCACCAGCCCTCGCTTGCATTTTGTAGGACTATGTGTGAATGTACCAATGCAGGCTGGGTTGCTGCCACAGCCACAGCTTAGCGGGGACAGTGAACTGGAAGCCAAGGTCTACTTGCACTAGTGCTCACCACATTCGTTTTCTGGTTAGAGTACCATGATTGGTACATAACAGATCTGGGAAACTTTCAAATTACAATTCAGAAGTTCTGCCATGCAAAACAGAGCAGCATTTGTTTCCCACAGTGGCCTTATTCATTGGAATTGTAACCTGTCTCCAGGCAGGAACTGTGGATTCCGTTCTTGGCGATGTTACTGCGAAGTGTAAAACATCACACTAAGACACTTAATGCCTCTCTGTGATTTATTCAATGACAGGGAGAATACCAGATTCTTGACTGTTTCAGATTAAAGAGAACCTTGATCTATTTGTGTAAGTTTGGCAGAAGGCATTTCCTTCCCTGTTTGCAGAGTTAGGTGTATTTCATAGAAGCCCCTCTGGAATCTGCTAGCAATACATGGCACTTCGTCATGCTCCAGCTTCCTAAGCAGCCAAAATCTGTTAAAGTTAGGGATGGGGTAGGAAGGAGGCAGGGGTGCGTTATTCTCAAACAACTGTCAGCCTGGAGTTATTTTGGTTATCAGTGGTCAATAGGCAAATTCAAGCAATAATGTGGCTAATGGGCAAGTGATTCAAGCAGCTTCATGGAATTGTGTGTTTCCTTCCTGAAGGAGAGGGTGGGGAGGTGGAGGGTTCTTAGGGGGATGTCCTATGACCAGAGCTTAGGAGTAAATATACTTCCTACCAGTGAGGGAGGCTTTTTTTTTCCCTTCCCTTAACGATAATAACTTGTATGTAGTAAACATCTCTTGGTACCTTTTCTGACTGGTTTTCTTCATCCCAGTTCTCTTGCCTTGATTTTCTGTAAATAATTTATCTGTTATCAGTCACAATTTTTTCCTTTTATGCACCTAAGAGGAGTCCAGTTTCTCCCAACCTCAAGACTTTAAGCATGTTTGACTTTATTTTCTAAAAAAAAAAAAAAAATCATGAACATAGCTATGGGCCTGTGACAGCATACATTTATTTTAGGAATATGCCAAACAAGGAGAGAAAATTTTGGAAGATTTTTCCATAAACTCGTACTCAGGGGAGTTCTAGCTGCATTACTACGGAAATTTCTGGTGCTATTATTCTTCAAAAGCAGCAATGCTGGATGACCTGATGGATGATTATTTGAAGATCTGCAGATCAAATGGTTCAAGCATGAATTAACTGCTTTTAAACTTTCCAGTGAGAATTCTGGTTGACTTCCAAGTAAATTACAGTGATAGGGATATGCTGCCCAGAGAATTGCTCAGCTGCTGCTCAGATCACCAGCTTTTTTTTAAGAGGTGCCAGCTGATGTTCTTCACTATATGACTGGAGAATGCAATTATGGTGGCAGCATCACTGATGACTGGGATTGGCTCTGTAAGCGTGCTAAACAAGTTGTTGAAATAGAAATTAGTGTCTGAGAGGAGCTGAGAATCCTCTGCTAATAATAATAATAATAATAATGGGAAGTTTGGTGTTGTGTATCTTGGGAGTGGAAGCAATCTGCTAAGAAAGAGGAAACAAGAAAGAAGTTTTCAGAGCTATCTGTTAAAAAGCAAACAAAAGACCCTGCCAACAATGTAAAAATACTTTGGCCAATCCAAGGCTGTCCGAGATGAAAAGGACTACTTTGTTCTTTGCTGCAGACATGGCTGAAGCCATGTAAGAGAGCAGACATCCCACAGTGACCAAGTTACCTGGCCTCAGTGTACAAGACCAGCGAGAGAAGAGGGATCCTGTCAACTACAGGCCATTCCACCAACTTTGTGGCTGTCATGACTCTCCCTTCAGACAAACCACAAGAACACCGGGTCAGACAGGTGTGGCATTATTATGTCAGCTTAACTCATAAACCTATTGCAGTTTCAGGAGGTAGGGGCATTTTCCAGATCACTTATAAGGAGTGCACGTCAGTCCTGAAATGCCATGTAAATAGAGAAATCAAAATGAGTTTTTTCACAATGTTGCATTTGTGCCTTTCACAAGATTTGAAACAGAATACAGAAGTACACAACAAAACCTTATAAAAGCCAACAAAAATATCTGCTCCTTGAATAGCTTTTATTTTCTGAAGGCTCCTTACGTATAAGGAACATACATAAAATGAACACAACACTGTTGACAATGAACAAAACAGCATTTGATCATTTCCAGCTTTATAAAATCTTAAAAAATGATCTAGTTATAACAAAAAGACCAATAGCTCAGCAAGTTATCTTATTGGACCATAATCACATTTTAAACCATAGACTCAGTTGTTAATGGGGAGAGGAAAGAAAAATAAAAAAAATAATAATAAAAAAAAAATCACACTGCATCTAGCAACTACAACATTTTCTAAGCATAATCACAGAGGATTGAGTGCAATGTGATTTACATCAAAATTCTTATGGGATGTCACACAGTGACAGCATTGTAATATACAAGTAACATTTATGCCCTCCAACAAATACAAGTTAAATGAGACTCTGGGTTCAAGCAAAATGGAATGTTGAAGCCAAGTAGAAATGTAGTGGAATTCAGATTGTCTGTAACAGAAGTGTACATTAGAATCTTTTGGAATTCAATACTGGCGGAAACACACAGAAGAAGTCACAGCTGTTACACTGCTCTGTTATATTTGCAATAAATATTAGAAAATAAAAGTAAACAACCTATATTCCATGAAAAATACAGTACCTACCTTCAATGACCACGTTTTTCCCTTGTCTGAAGATGGTCTTGGAAGGAAGTTAACTATTTTCCTACAGAGGCAGTGTATTAAGCTATAACCATATTACAACTAATAAAAAAGTAAATATACTACCTGAAATACAGAAATCTTCATTTGAAAAGAATTAAGAGAAATAAGCTTTAAAAAATGATTTGACAAAACATCAGTTCAGCTGCATAATGACCCCCTTACACTTGACAGAATTAACAGAAAAGAAAAACTAAGTCAGTTTAATACATAAGAAACACAGATTGTTTAAACTTAGATCCTCAGAAGGTATCCAGTGAGTGAAGTCTCTTTGAAAACGGTACTCAGTGACCAAACATGAACACTATGCTAAAATGTCACCCAGGAGCTTTACACTGCAGAAATTCAGGAATCTGAAGCTAACAACAGTGTGTTTGCTAATTAGGGTCCAACAGTAAACATGTTTAAAGAGCAAAAAATAAAACCTGAGTTCAGAACATGAAATGGCTGCCTGCCTGAACTCTGGGCTTTTGGCTTCTTCACTGAAGAAACTGCACCCTTCTTTGAAATGGACCCCTAATACTGTTTCCTGATACTGAATTAGGAAGAAATACTGGCGACCGACCGACTACTTTAAAATACATGAGCTGCTCTCAGTAAAAGCTGACCTGACCAATAAAGTTTCAAAAGTAAAGGGCCACAGGAAACACATTAACTTGAAATGGAATGAAGATACCAACTGGCTCTCATTAAAGGCGTTAGGATCAGTGTTCTTAGCAGCTACACTGGCACCAAGCAGACTGAAACAAAACTTACGGCACATAGTCAAAATACAGCTTTTACCTGGCATACACATAAAATAGACGAACTGCATGTTTTAAAAAAAGCTACTACCATGCTTAGGATTGGTACTACAGAATCAACTTGCACTCCTCACAAACTCACAATTTTTTTTTAAGGAGATGGGTACAAGAAGAACTAACTCATGTCTGGCAATATACGCATATCAGCACAATCTGATCTAGGACAGCTGGTCCCAGCAAGTTAAGGCCCAAAGTTTCAGTCTATTCTTCCGAATGACACATACCATTGTTCTACCACATCTGCTTTTTAATAATCTAATTTAAATACCAAAATTGTAAAAAAATATCTTAGAAATGAACTCCTTTATACTGGAAGTAGAAATCTTCTTACATACTCTCTACTGCCAGAAATGGCTGGTGTTGCAATGTCTGATAACAAGGCATTGTAGAAACACATTTGATCTGCTATTACAGTATTGTAAATAACCTACCATTACAACATACACAGAGCATAATTTAACCTTTGTGCCCAGGTTCAGCAACTAGCATCTTGAACTTTGGATTGTTTTAACATGAAGAGAAGAAAACAGTTCAAAATAATTGTTTTTAAAAAATGGAGAAATTCCTGTATGGATTCTTTGTTAAAAGAGTTTGCACAAATTCACAGCCACAATTCTTCAGTAGTTTATGCTGCAAGTGGCACACAATACATGTTTAGCGTCTGTAAGAAAAAACCAGAAATAGCTCAATAACTCCAACGTCAGGGATTTCCCCAAGCTAACACTAATTCTACTGCATTTTGCATTTTCCTACTAATATCAAGGAACAAACATCAAATAAATCTTAGTTGGGAAAAACATTATCAAACTGACCCTCGACAGAAGTCACACTTTGCAGAGTACATGGCAACAGCCTGCCTTCTTACACAGGAGGATTGAAATGATGGAGTGAGCTTAACATGTCTTGTAAGAATTTAAACAGTGTTTAGGCTTTGGGTTTCTTTTTAAAAATTTAAACTGGCATAGTGGTTTCCAGTCATGTCCTGCTGTAAGATTTAATATTTCAAGTCACCACTATGCAGAAAAATCAGCGCAGAATTAATATATATATACATACACGCACACACACATATATATGTATGCATATCTGTATATATCTACATAGATCTATACATATATAGATACATATATGCACTACTCAGGACTTATATGGCACTAAAAGCTTGCTCGGGTTCCTTGCAGAGGTTTGAGTTTTAACTGTAACATCTTGGTTCTGTCCAAGTGTACCAATGAAATGGTATTTTCCCAAATAAGAAAATCATTCACTGTACTTTTTCTTTCTTAAGCAAGCAGTGCTCCCTATACAGTACACTGAACTTGGCCTTTATTTCTCATATTTTGTGTTTCCTAAGTGTTGATCACTCGAGTGTAGAAGTTGCATTGGGTGACCTGATCTGATCTGAATTAGAAAAAAAGCATTAGTTAATCTAGGCAGAAATGAATGTCCTGTACTTGTGTAAGTAGTGCAAGCCACCGCGTTTCCTCCGAGCAACGTGCATACAGTGAAACAGTGCAGACTCAAAGCCATACAGCAACATTATTGTAACCACAGTGATTACCAGAATTAGGTCAAAACTGGATGTCAAGCACAATTTTGTCTTCATAGAGGGCAATCACCAGCATGATGGCAAATCCAAGAAGCAGGCCTAGATTCTGAAGAACGAACTGCCCCACGGGACAGTAGCCATGCTCTTCATTATCTCCATCTCCATGAAGCATTTCTGGAAGCTAAAAGGAAAAAAACAATTTAGAAAGTTTTTTCACCTCTATTCCATTTATACATGGACAAATTTACAAGATGGTATTGTCAAGACTCAATACTCCAGGGTTCAGTTACAAAACAACACACTAAGACATAGCTTAAAGTCTATCTAACCACTACAGTCAATAAAAACACGATCATATCATAAAACACTTTTCCTTTGGACTTTTTTTTTCTTAAGCTTTTACTGGATCACACATCTAATTGAACATTAAGTTCCTCAAGATAAGGACCAGCCCAGCAGTTCTGCTCTCTTGAGTACTTCTACTCAATTAAAATTGTCATGCTCAAGTGAATGTAATAAAAAGCTTTGCCTATTTCTACAGTAATTACATTGTTATAAATATACCCTTTATAATGACTTTGCTGATTAACTTAGCCATTCATTTGTCATGTTAGATGCTTACACATATTCACATACACATCCCTTTAAAATATGGGAATAATAGCTCCAGGCAATTAAAGAGAAATTCTATGTGAAACTATAAGAAATTATGAAAGTTCTGGCTAGTCCTTTTGTTCCTCATCTATGAAGAAAAGTCAAAGAGTACTGATAAAAGCAACAAATAATAGTGGACTTGGAAGATGTAAAAATAAATCTTACAAAGTGTTTTACGACACATACAGAAGAGAAATAGCATGTTTACAAAGAAATTAATTCATGAAAGCAGGAGGTGAAAACAAAGGAGTTCCTTCAAGACACAGTATGCAAAAAGATACTACAGAAGAAAATGTAAACTTCAGGTAGTACACAGCACAAGTCTATTTATTGCTCTTCATTAGATAGGCTAGAGTAGTTTTTGTTATTCTGAGTACCTGAATTCTGAAGAGACAATGATATCAAAGCTGCCAAAAACCCAAATATTTTACACCCTTCTGGTCTTGTATTACTGTATTTCTAAAAGACACATAACCTGACAACTAATTTGACTCACTGAGTATTTAAATATATACAAAAGAACCCAAACTGATGTAAAAAATGACACATTACATATACATATCAATTGACAATTACATGACAATAAATACACAATCTGCCTGAAGGATCTGGACCTATGGTGTACACACACTAAAGGTAACATACCTATAAGTTCCTGAAGCAGTAGCACTTTCCCACAAGATAATTTCTTTAAAAGCTAATCACCACAAGAACTACGTATTACCAGCTGCTCATGCTAAAGTTTCATACTGAACTTCTCAGAATATACCAAGATTAAATTTTAGAGAAGAACAACCCTGAACACTAGGCTGAACTCCAGCACATAGTGGCCCAGCCACAGCAGTCCTATGTTTTATGCACGGAATGCAAAAATGGCACAGCACCATCCCAACCTTACCATGTCCACCAAGGCCACATAGAGGAACATGCCAGCGGTGACGGCGAAGATCCAGAGGGTGATGTTGTTGGCGTACTGCCCCACGGCCGTGCCGATCAGCATCCCGATGTACGCCATCATGGCTGACAGCAGGTTGTACACAATGGCCTGCTTTACTGTCATACCTGCTTTGAGGAGCACAGCAAAGTCACCTGCAACAGGGACAGAACGCAGGGGTTTGGCATCAGCAGACGTAAAACTCTTCTCAGGAGAGCAAGTAAACAAATTAGCTTACACTTACTACCTCACCAATCCAAGGAACTACCAAAGTAAAAATGCTGCTACAGAGCCTCGAAGTCAGATTGAGCAACAGAAAATGACAACTCTTGTAAGAACTGTATTTATGTGCAGCAATCCCTTGATTAAAATATGATTTAAAGGCACCTACTCATCATGCTGATTATCAGAAAGGTAATAGTGACTAATCATGAAGGGTGAATTGAGGAGTCTAGATCTGGTCCTCCCACAGAGAATACACAGAATCACAGAATAAGCCAAGCTGGAAGGACCCACAAGGGTCATCGAGTGCAAGTTCTAGCCCTGCACAAGACCATCCCCAAGACTCACACCATGTGCCTGAGAGTATCATCCAAATGCTTCTTGAACTCTGTCAGGCTTGGTGCTGTGACCACTGCCCTGGGGAGCCTGTTCCAGTGCCCAACTGCCCTCTGGTGATAGAGGTAGATATTCCACAAAAATCTAGATTTCTGTCTTGTAATCAGGTTTAATCATTTTACTCCACTCATACTGAATTCTTGTGAATATCAGAAGTGTAAGATGATATACAGTCATGACGGTAATTAACAAAATATTCTCATGTCACATATGCTAGAAATAAATTGCTTAGTCTAGAATCAAAACATATCAAAATAAAAAAATAAAAAAAATATGTACAGTGAACTACTCACCTTTTACACAGGGTTAGTTTAATCACATTACACTATCAAGTTATAAGCACACTACTATATATTGCAATCCTTTATATACCGCAGCAGCTTCACTTAACTAATGATTGTACCACTGGTGTCAGACCATGAACATCTGCTCTATTATTTCCCATCTGTGCCCACTACTTACCTATAGCTCAGTAGCTGCCTATATAAAATGCTTTCACTCATCACCTCTAAGGGTTTTTGAAGTACTTGTTTTACCTCACTTTTGACCATTCAGAGCTAGCAGTTCACCAAGTAAGCAAGCTGTAAGTATATGCGCAGTTCAATCTAGTACAATTTCGTAATAGGTAAGCTTGTGTTTACTTATATAACTTAACTTTGTGTAAGACAAGGCCACACAGAGTAGTGTGAAATTCTCTATAAAATGCACAGGTGTAACACCAAAATGTCAAATGTGTGCTCCTAAGAACGTTTTTTAAAATGTGTTCAAAAAGCTTCACAGAGCTGCTGTAAGTAGACACCTGCCAGTATAATCCTGCATCATTATGTACTGTGAAGCAACATTGCTCCCTTCCACTCTGAAGTTCTGGTCACCCCTGCAGCGTCTGCATTTGCATTATGTTTATCACTGTGAGTATCACAACAGCTTTCAGACAAATATTTTGTACAGATGAAGAGACTGAACACAGAGTTTCTCGACTTAGTTACCTAATTCATGGGGAAGCTCATGACAAAATACTGCTATAGATGTACTAATTCCTCCTGTCAGTCCAGCACTAAAAGCTGCTCCTAGAAAAGAGAAGAAAAATAAATTAAAATGATATTTCACTATTTTCAAGTCAGAAAATCAACAGATTTTCCAGGGATGACAACCTTCTGTTAGGAGGCATACTCTTATATTTTTCAGTATGTCTAGGCCCTGTCCATATATAAATGGGAAGTACTGGAAGTATCTTGGATGTGCATTACCACTGCATGCTTTATTACTCAGTGTATCTGAAAGACAAATCCTGGGAGAGGAGATCACAACTGACCAAAACGGACACATTAAGGCAACAAGCTAATAAATAGCACCACTTTTACATTTTTAGGAACTCTCAAGTACATGAGGACAGTTAGGAATGCACATGAGCAAGAGTCTAAACCTCTCCTTTCCAGCTTGGAAATCCAAACTAATATTTAACCCATAACCTCTCTAGTTCCTTTCTGCTTATATGTAGAGCACATATCAGCAATATTAATAAGCCAGACCTGGAAAATAATAAAGATAAAAACATTGCCATAAATGTCTTTCAGTAACTTTTGCATAAGCTAATTTAATTCAATTAACTTTAAGTTCATACCTTAAATAATTCTGAGATGAGAAAACTGGTACTAAATTTCTGTACTGTAGCAGAGAAAAGCACAAAAAGAGCCTGCAGTGAGCAGTCAAAACAGGCAACATAAAGTAGAAAGAGAAGACACAATCTGAAGACAGAGGGGAAATTTAACTTTCCTCTGGATTAGTCATAACTTGATACACTAAAAATACGAACATGCTTTTCTAAAATCTACATTTTACCAAAGAATCAGCTGTTTGGACTTGACACAGGAATATTTAGAAATGGAGTTTCAACACAGTGAAGTTCTCAACAGTAGTCATAGTAATCCTTTTGGCCTTAGAAACCATTGTCTAAATGTCTTACCTGTTTAATATGAAAATGAAGCAAAAAGTTATTTTTTAAAGAATTTAGTTTCTTTCGAAATTGTTTTGAGAAAGTGGAGAAATAGTAGTAGAATCCACTGTTAACTACAGACCCTAATAAGTAGCTTATCCCCCATCCTTCAAAATGTGTGTTCCTCCTACTAGTAGTTCAGAACCCTGTGTATTCTTAGCAGCTACTTAAGTAAAAAATTAAAAGTATGCACTTCAGTACTCTCACTGTCATTTTGACTTGTATGACATATACTGAAATTAAATGCATTTTACGGTTCAAATCACATTTAGAGCATTATGTGAATCAAAGTTGATTTCATAAATCTAATAAAATCTGTTTGGTAATTCAATGTGTTCTGCACTTGGCTAGAAATAAATCTATACTGACCATAAGCCAAACCCAAACTTTGCTTAAATAAAAATTAAATTATTTTTAAAAAATTATTTCTGTAACCTGTCTCATAGTGTATTTTTACTTACAAGTACTGTATAATCCTATGTATTAACAATAATAGAAATAGTAGTGTTATTATTATAAATAAATATAATTGTAAATAGGACTGAATTTACTTATAATTCAAAGGCAAATACTAAGATCCAAACAACAAATGTGGCATTACTGTGCTCCATAAATCACAAAGAAGTTTGTCTGCACCTATCCTTACTTGGCAGAGATTGTCACTATGCCAATACAGTAATTTCGGCGGAAATAGAACAAAATATTAACAAAGTAGTAACTATTACAATTGACAGCCTTTTACTTTCTGCCCTGAAGGAGATTAAGCAATGCCAGGAACCATGGCAGCTAACTGGAAGCCTTACCTATGATCACTGATAAGTAAAATATTACCAGAGTTACTAAAGGTAAGGAGAAACTGTTGAGAAATACTCAGTGCTTTTGCTTACCGATTGCTAAGCCATCACTAAAGTTGTGAATGCCATCTCCCATAATTACCATCCAAGCAATATTAGCTATCCCAGTATCTTTCAGGTCTTTTCCAGAATGACAGTGGCCATGGGAATGATGGGAATGTTTGTGATGCCAGTGGTGACTGTGTTTTCTAGCTATCATTTTATCTTCTCCATGGCTGTCATACTCTGAGTCATGAAGATCATGCTCTTGAGCAGCATGTGAGACGTCGTTGTGAGAATGGCGCATGTTGTTGTCCTCTTCCACAGACAAGAAGTTTTTGGGAGGGGATTCCAACTGGCCATCCAGATCAGTTAGTTCAGTTTCATTCAGTCGATCTTCAGACAAAACCGAGTCATCTGCTCCTGCATTGAAGCCAGTTGGGAGAGACACTGTGTTAATTTGTATTTAACACGTCACCAGCAACTGCTGCATCACCGAACTAAGAATTAACTGCTCTGCGAAAGCAAAAAAAGTATTTTAACACATCCCAGTCTAGTTACTTCATTGTCAATATTCAGCCAAAAAAAAAAAATCTCTCATTGATACTTTTTTTCATTAATTTGCATGTACAGCATATGAAAGTCTCCACTACAAGGCAACATCACTGAGTCCATAGCACTCAAAGCCAGTTTTAACCCAGCCTAGGCTTGTATCTGCAATTTTGCTACTGACAAAGTTTATGGTTCAACATTGGCAAAGGAGAGTTGCCAGGATGATAATAATGTCTTATCTGCTGCAGATGGAATCTGAATGGCTCAGGAAACCTTAACTGGCTACTGCCTACACATGCCCCTACAGGTCACAGCTCAGCCTTCACTGCAGTATACCATGACCTGCCACCGACACAGACACTAGTTACAGATCTGCTGTATTGCATGAATCCTTGTGTCACACTTGTGTGCTCACACAGTGAGCTTCTTCAGAGTAGCTCATTACCCTGCTAGCAATCAAAGCCATTTTTACAAAGTAATACAAAGTGAAAACAATGCAGAAGGCTTATACAATGAATTTTAAGCTTACTAATATTTCCAAAATATTAATAAATGAACAAAGAGGGCAATCTATGCTCCAGGAAAGAAAAGCAGTTGTGAGGGGGAAAAAAAAAAAAAAAAGCAGTTCTGGACAATTAGCTCACAATAATTAAAAAAAATATTTCAGAGTCAAAAATAAGCAAATCATAAGTGGAATTAAAAAAACTGGCACGGAGTACCTAAGCAGCAGAGAGTTCTAGATAAACAGTGTCTTAATCATCATGCGGAGGTGGTTTAAAAAGAAATGGATGGCCATTCAGGTCAGTGGTAGTGGCACTGCAGCTCAAAATTCAAATTCAGCATGGGCTTCCAGTGCCTGCAGTACGAATGATATACTGAGCAGCAGAGCACACTTTCAGAATAAGTGTGTTACAAAACCAGTACATGCTCCAGGTTTTCAGAAGCAAAATTCCTCTGATTGCCCATTAAAAGGAAATGAGGACATTTCAAATATATTTACCACTATCCATACAGTTTGAAGTCTATGTTCTATATCAATGTCCCATATCCCATTGACTGGAGAAGGCTGCAGTCCTAATTCTCCCTTCTACAAATCAATCAAATTAACAAAACTGAATTTGTATAAATACAGCCTATGGACTCTTCATCAACAACTTAATGCAGCAGCCATGCAGGCAACAGAACGGGAAGGTTATGAAGCAAAGTCCTTCCCTCACCCCTATGGGGATACACAATTCCTTCTGGGTGCACACTGCCTGAGCATTCACAGACTGTCACGAAGGAACAGTATGTGAAAGTTGTTTTGGATACTTGAGGAATATTCAGGATACTCAGTTGTATTTATGAAAAGAAACAGATTTTGTTTAGCTTCCTCAGCCAAACAATAATTGGTTCAGCTGCTGGAATCTTCAAAGTGAAACGGATATCTGCATTCAGGTTGTGTGGGTGTTCATTTTTGATCTAATTTTTGCCTGGGTTGAGCTATTCAGGCACAGCTGAACCAAAAAAACACCCTGAAAACAAATAAATAAAAAATCTCCCGAAGAACCGCAGCCACCCAAAACCTGACTGCTTCAGAAGTCTGAGAACCATCTTTATGGCATATTAGGAAGTGTTCAGAGTGCTCTCAGATCTAACGACAACAAAATAAAAAAAGATTTAATGGGGAAAGCCTATTAAGTCTTATTAACAATGATTTGCATAATAGCAGCAAAACTGTACAAGACGTTACATGCTAAATACCATACCAAAGTAACATGTTGCTACTTTCAATCTCATAATCAGAGAAAATTCTGAAAATAAATGCCAACCTGCAAGGGGTTTCAGCTGAAGCCAGTCAGCATCTGGTCTGTTATTTAATTTGTGATCAGAAAGTTTCCTTCCAATTGGTGATTCTTCAGCCTGGTTTTTTTTGCACCATTTCTGCTTACTCTGCAACAGAAAAGAGGTAACATCTGGTTTGTAAAATGACACTGATGGAGATAAGAAGTGAAATGTTGTCAAAAAATCTCCTCTAAAGAGACCAAGTTACTCTCTCTTAACATGTTTAACAGAAGTATGTTACTTCAGAATATTGAATTAAGCATAGGCTTAATAAGTAAGGTTCAGCAACAGTAGCTATCCCAGTGGAAATTATTAGCTACCTATGACAGAATCTCACAAACACACACAGATGATTATTTGACTTTAGTAAGAGAGTATACTCTGACAAGGATTGCTCTCACAGCCTAGAAACACGTGTGCAGCTATTATATTTGCTGACTTTGTTCAAGAAAGCAAGCATGCAGCAAGAACAGCTCCTCTAATTTGTTCAACTTTAATTTTTTTATACTTCTGGAACTTGCTTGTATTTTCCTTTAAGAAAATAGCAAGCTTTTCTCTATCTGCAGCCCATACAACAAAGCTTATGGATTTGCCAAAGCAGCCTAGGGGATTTAATTATTTATTTAATTAATTAATTAATTAATTTAATTAATTATTTAATTATTTAATTAATCTCAAAGAAGATATGTCCAATGGGACACTTTTTATCCCTTTATCAGATGTAAGAAATGCCTCCTCCAACACAGAAAATCTCTTGCTGCCTGTCCAGCTAAGACAGCAACTCTGATGTGAAAACAGAGAACTTGAAAATTTTTCATAGTCCTTTTGGGAGAAGCAGTTACAGTTTCAGTTTCACCAAAATAATTTTCTCCTCGAAGTCGACTGATGAAGGCAAAAGTTGAAATTGAATTTCCATGCACATTCACACTCCCCAAGGTACCTGCTCTCCTTTGGTACCACCATCATGAATACAGAATGCTTCTAGCTCTAACAGTCCAACAATTTTTAGAAAAACAAGTTAAAATTTGACTGGCAATTTATAGAAAGCAGGAGGTCTGAAAAGTTTAGCATTTTCTGATGTAGAAAAATCGAATACTTCTGTTACACCAGCATTGTTAGCTAACAATATACTGCTAAATTTCTTGTAAATTGTCTGACAATGGCTATGTTCTTTCTTACACACTGCTTTTCATATTTTGAGGGAAAAAAAAAATAAAATCACAGCATTTTCGAGGGAGAGCTGTAATCTCTTTTACTTAGATCTACCTCCAAATGTATCTGGTCAGAAAGCTGCAACTTCGCCCACCAGATTTCTACACTCTACAGAGTAGAGTTTTCTCACATAACACGGGACAGAATAAAGATTAGCAGCACTTGTTCACAGAATAACAATTCATCACACAGACAACAACTCAATTCTCAGAAGACAACCTCAGGTACTACGTTTTCAAACAGCACGCAATTTAAGTACGTACCTTTTGTTTATTGTAATGTTTGTACATTCTTATACAATGTTCAATGATGAACAAAACATAAATGCCTCCAAGTGCCACAAGGCCTTTCAGCACTGGATCATTTTCTTCTAGGAAGCCTTCAGTCCGCACTGCATGTCCGTGGGCATGTCGATGGGAACGCTTGTGTTCATGAACATGACCTTGGCCATGGTGGTGACTGTGGTTGTGGCCTCCATGTGACTATTAGGAGAGAAAATAATAACACAGCACGACCTGGTGCAATCAGGAGACTGAAATGGCTCTGAGTTCAGACTAAAAAAATATGTCACCTTTCAGAAAAGAAGCATAAAATCCCCCCATTTTTTTTTCCCCCACACTAACACACTTTGCCATATAAATTTTTCACCGGACTATTCATTACCCTAATCATTAAAAAAAAAAAATCCACCTGGGAAATTTTTTGGGACAGTGGGAGATAATCTAGCTTCATGTTTTCTCACAATGCTGATGATAAATGAGACTAACTCTCAGAAATATCACACAGAATTACCATTCCTATGCTTCCAATAGTAACCAAACCTTATGAATTTTTTTAACCATTATAGGTCATTAGAGACTTAATTCTGATCTGAAATACAAACTTAAAAAAAAAAAAAGAGTAAAAATGTGTATTAGAATTTATACAGAGAAAACATGTAAACACTAATCTTTCTGTTAAAAGAATTAAGGTAACAAAAGTTTAAAAAACATTTCCCCATTTAAGAACTACAGTATATGATCATGAATTAAAAAGTGCTTACTTTCCCCAGAACCTGGGCAATTTCTTGATTCAGTAAGTTAGAGGTTACTTTCTCCCCAAAAGCTAGTAACCATGAAGGTGAATCCCCAGGAAATACTTTTAGGTGGTACTGACACACAATCAACTGTCAGTAGACACGAGACAGCAATACTGCTAACTTTAAAATAGTCTCGCTGGGCTCATGAGGTGTTTTAAAGTAGTAACAGCAGTTTAAAATAGTGACAGCATTTCAACCAGGAATACACAACTACTTTTTTCTTTTTTCTTTTTTTTTTTTTTTTAAGGAAAAACACATTTTCTTTCTTTTTGTTAACAGAAAGTCTCTAACAGTGTTTCAGGATGCCCCTCATAGCCAAGTCATTTTACATCTGTATCAGTGAACATTTATGTATTGACACTATCAAACAATTCCTTGAAAATTCTAGACTCATTTACAATTAAGAATAAAAGGTAAGGAAGCAATACTTACATGTGGCAATAGATGGAGCAGTGCATCTCCACTCATTGTTCCTACTGCCAGAGCTACCAAGAAAGTTAGAAGAAATTTGAAGCACCATTGGTTAATGATGGGAACCAGGATCACCCCTAGCAAGGAAAGCAGGCTAATGACGGTGATAGAGATGATACCACAAAACCAGGCTGTGGGAAGAAATGAATACAGAAAGGTTATCAGAACACCTGTAAAACTTTCAAGACTCATTAATGACTTTCAAGTACCTCTTAAAGAGGTGACTTTCCTTTAACCTAAGCTGTGTGATTGTTCATTCAAAAGGTGCTGAAAAATACGAAAGCAGTACTGAAGTCCACAGCAAAAAAAATACAGACCTATTCATAGTACAGTATGATATACTGAAAGACATCAGAAGACAGTTAGCTAAAAAGAGCCCAGTGATTCCTCCTGATTGTTAGTTCCAGGCTTAGTTTTGTAGCCCTTAATGAAACACAAAAAGCAAAAGATTTCATATTGGAACAGAACCACCTCCACTACTTAAGCTCAGATCAAGCTCAGTTTGTCAAGTTAACTTAACAAACACTAACATGTATTTAACATTTGTTTTTAACATGGTTCTGATGCAAAATTTATCTGAAATCAATATATCTCCTCTTCTGTTTGGAGTCACATGTTTAGTTTGGCACTATTTATTTTACCTGGTGCTTTGAAACATACATTTTTATTAATAAGAAGTAAGACTCAACTTTTGACTCTAAAATCTAATTCTGCAATAAGAGCTTGAAGAGCTGAAAGCAACTCGCTACCAATGAAAAGCAGCATTTATTTTATCTGAGAACCTCTACCGTTGTCATTAGAAAAAAAAGTCATAATGTGATGTGGTACACCCAACATAATCCTCTTAATTAGGGAAGGTGTGCAAATTTCTAGATGACATGTAAAAGAAGGAATTACTCAAGAAACAGATTCTATAATCAAAGAGACATGGCTCTTGCACTCAGCATCTCACCCTAATAAAATATTTTTTTTATTTTAAGTTTTAGCCTAAAGGCCTCAGGTTTTTCTAGGGTTTTCCTAGCTTCGTTTTTAATCAAAAATGTCTACACAGTTTGCCAACTTTAATCTAAGTCAACAACTCCTAATTCAAAATCACTAGTGTTTCCACATTTCAGAGCACAACTTGACTTCCCTTGCATCTCTCAAGGCCCACTCATTTAAGGAAAACATCCTGGAAAATGGGGGAGCAAGGGTTGAGTATGGATGAGAGGAGAAATGAATATGTTGTAGCTGCTAATATTAAAATGTCAAGCATCTCAAGAAATCTATCTGTACTAAACTCACTACAGAACTGATTTGCCAAGACTTTGCAGGCTTGGTCTAGTTCAACACCAAAGCTTACAACATCCGCTGTTTTAAAATTTATTTTGGGATATTCATTCTTACAAAGTCTGCAGTTGTCATTCCACAACGCTGCACAAAAGGAAACAATTCAGTTCAAATGAAAGGGTACAAGACCACATCCATGAGGAGAAACTGACTGGAAAAAGCTTTAGACAGTGTGCAGTGTGCACTGACATACATGCACATTGAGACAGAGGGAAAAAGAGTGTTGGTGAAAAGGCAAAGTCTGCCATCAGATGAGGAACTCAAAAACAGAGGATGGAAAATGGGAATACGAAAGCAGGTCTAAAGTGGACCTTGAGGACCAAAATACTGCCACTACGCAGCCTTGATTCATACCCAGAGCACTTCAGCCACGTGCTCTGGACTAATAGGCTCTGCTGAAAAAAACAGCATACATGGACTTGTCATTCAATGCTGAATCATGCACGCATGCACAAGCAGCCCAAAAAAAAGTCACACAGCCATTTGGCAGGACACTGGAACTCCATCTGGACACATTATGATGTTAAGTGCCAGGTTAGATGATCAACAGCCTTACATGGAGAAAAATGGAAAGGAGATTATGCAAACTGGCTTAAGTTTCACGTATCACAGCATAATTTTGGCAAACCCACCTCTGAAGGGCTTACATACTGTTATGAATGATACAGTACCTAAACATGGCATCATGATTAAGATGAGGCACACGAGATTTAGAATACGGAATCTGTGCACCTCTCGGATCCCCTCCAGGGAACACTGGCATCTGCACAGGCAGAATTACAAGCTGCATCTGATCTGAAACACTTCGACTCATCAGCTCTAAGTGATCTCCACCTTTTAAAAAACTGCTCACTGTTTACTTGTATCACTTCTACTAATTTGATTCATAGTAGGATGTGTCTTTGCTTTTAGGTTAAGTTGCTTATGAGCCCTCAGTGATGACAATGTCACCTTTTCCAGCAGGTACACTGTGAAAGCTCAGTTGTATGTATAAGCCCTTGAAATTCCTCTCTTAGAAGATGTTACAGAAACTATCTGTAAATTACAGGAAGAAAACCCAACATAGCTTCACAAGTTTTTGGTCATCAGTTAATTAAATTACTTTGCTTTAGAAAATGTACTATCAGAGGTAAGGGAAACCTCACCAGTGAGTAGAAGCACCACTGGTCTCTTAAGTTTTTTTGAAAGCTCTAATTAAAACTAAAGAAAATCATCAAAAGCTTATGTTTAAAAGTGACTGCATCCTCCTAACTTTGGCAAATACTTCTATCTAAAATGTTTATATTAGCTTGTGTGAGTACACATTCTCATTTTAGTAAAATCCTATAACCTGCAGGTTCAGTTACCCTATGACTGAAAGTAGTCCTACACATCCCACAGTCCCCACATTCCAGTTAGAATTTGTTATTTTGTGATACACTTCCTTACTTAAAAAGGAAAAATTATTATTACATCACTGAAATTTTGCTGTAGTTAATACAAGAGTATACAGGAAATTGTTATGAAGAATGATTTATCTAATCAAGCTGACCTGTTTTAGGGGTTACTGTTTATGTTCACAGCTAAATCAATGTTAAAACCCAAATTTTAACAACTAACTGGCAAAGATGTTATTTATAGTCAAAGTATCAGATGACATAAAACGTTAAATATTCACGATAAGCTTCATTAATTTTGCAAATTAAGTCTCTTAAAACGTTAAAGGTCTTCAAGCTGAGTTATTCATCAACTCCCTTTCTCATTACAGAGAAATAAAATGCGTTCTTTTAAAAAGAAGCACTCAACTGTAGAAACTTTCTAATTAAACCGGTCCAAAGCATGAACAACATGACAGTTTTGTAAAGGGTTTCAACATTTTAATTGGCAGAAAATGCTTAGGGCAGCTCTAGAAATGCTCTTGGTGATAAGGCAGGGTTCAACTCTTACTACGACGAGGCTACCCCACAAAACAATGTGCTGCCATATGAAACACACGGTATACTTGGTTTACAGCAATCTTGGAACAGTTAACAAGATAGCAGACGTGTCTCTGTAGGAGATGTATGCCTAAGAAGTTAACCACTTTAACGACTCCAGAATTGTTAAGAAAGAACAATGCATACTTTCCAAGTTACCAACATCTATGAGAATGTAGTTACTTCAAGCTTTATTTCTAGTGATGCTAATAAGCACCTATGTACTAATCAATATTCACCACTACAATACTTTTATTCTCAAAATACAGACACTATACGCAAATTTTTTAGATTTTTAATATTTCACTGCAACTAAACACCATAATTCCATTATCATTTATAAAAGATAGCAGTACTGAACATGTATTTTAAAAGTACTTTCAGTTATGAAATCACAACAATGACTCTGCCCCTAAAGTAATTGCTTTAACAGTAGTAAAGATATTTTTAGCTTAGAACTATGGCAAAATGCCTAGGCCCAATGGTAAGACATTAGGCCTCAATGACAGAAAATCAAAAAAAAAAAAGAAATAAAAATAAGCAAACATAAAATAGTGAAAATGATAGTGAAAAAAACATACCTCCTTGATCCATGGTTACCTTGGAGAACCTGTTATACCACCTAACAGAATGCTATGTCTCCTGACTTAAAGGATGATGTTGTCTTAAGTTTCTTCTACCATGTTAAATTTCAACCATTCCTTTACAAGCAATGATAAACTGTATGACATGTCAAACTCTGAAGTTTTATATTTAAATTGCAAAATGATTTAGAAAGCTTTAGATGTTACACACCTACCTGATGCACCTGTTTTATCTTTATTGTCAATTGACGCATTTTTACTTTTCATAATATCTTCAAACTCATCATAATGTACAATACAAAGCCTTCTCTCAATCTGGTATAGCAAAGCAGGGCATATGTACACGAACAATTCAGGAGATATTAGAGAGCTGGTTTCCAGACCATAGTACCGTAGCAGCTGGGTAGCATTTAAGCACTGCAAGCAAATTGTACAAACAAATTAAATATAAAAGCAACTATTTTACTAAAAGCTACAGTTATGGAAAATTTAGCGTATTATTTGAGAACACAAAACAGACAGCAGAAACTTTGGCCAAAACATTCCACCAGTGCTAAAACATGTTTTAAGCTGACCTAAGTGGTTTTTAAGGGGAAAGAAACAGTAAAAATATCTGAACTACAAATTCAAGTCTCCCAACACCTATATAATACTTGATAAATATTAATGAAAATGAGTTTCCGTATTCTTTACCATTACACAGTTAAGGCAATGAAGAAAGAGCAACAGGTAAGGAGTGGGAGAATGTAAATCCAAAATAGGTTTACTAATACTTCTGTTTATCTACCAACCTTTTGTGTTTAGAGTTGCACTTTTTAATTCAGTTTATCAAACTTAGCACCCACTCCATTCTTTCCTATCCTGACTTCTAGTTTAAAACTATGGTATCAGAACGTCCTGCCTCTGTAGTAAGGGGCTATTTATGGTGCTAGTAGATCTAATGGATGCTGAAGGAAGAAACAGATGATCTAACACTGAGCACAGTCCTACAGAAGCTATATGTACAATTGCTTCATAATCTCTTAGGACAAACACATTAGAAGCATTATGAAAAGATGCAGATATTTATTTTAGGAAAGAGTGTCCATGCAGCTTTCAAAAATGTTAATGACCTCAGATTCAGAAAGAAGTCCTAAACTTCCTTCTGTGTGTCATTACAATATTCATCAATACTGGGAAGGGAAAAACCCTCACACCTGTAAGCAGCACATCTCAGAAAGCCTTTAAGGATCAACTTCATACAGAAAAATAGGCAAGAAGATAGATCTCTGAGAAAAGATGGGTGATGGGCAGACAGAAATGAAAATTCATAAAGTTAACTCAAAATCGTGGCAGTAACCTCTAGGATTTTCATTCTGCAACTTGTATTATACCACGGTCACAAACCTGCTTCTCTGTTATTTGTGGGTATGCACCTTCGATTATTTCGTAACATATTACGTTCCATACAGCAAAATGTAACAACAGCGGAACTCAACTTCCCAGCTCCCCATTTCATACTCACCTCTTCACGATCCTTGTGACTACGCATTGAAACAAGGGCACGTTTTCTCACACTGATCTGCTTGCGAGGTGCCTCTCGCTTGCTGGTATTTCGGTGTGCATCGTCATTACCTAAACTGGCATCTTGATGTCCATGACTACCAGAACGATCACTGCTGTGGTCATGATGGTGCACATGCAAGTGAGATGCATCATGTACATGATCATGTTTATGAACACGATTGTGCTCATACTGATCACCGGGATCATGATCTGGGGCATAATCCCAGGTAGCATCTCCTGAAGTCTCACTGATCTTCTTTTGCTTCTTCTTCTGTTTCCGTTGTTTTCTTTCTGGCTGATCCTGAGTTGTGTTTGTCTCTGTTGAAGGTTCATGGTTCTGTTCCCCGTGCTCACGATGACTGACTGAATCATTACGAGAGTGATGGGTGCCATTATGGTCATGGCGATGTGGACGAGAGTGGTGGTGGTGGTGACGGCGACTTTGGTCATGAATGTGTTTGCCATCATCTTTTACTGATGGCACTACTGTGTCTCTCTCTGGGTCACATTTATGATTCCTCTTTGCAGACATACCAATCACGGTTTGGTTTTCTGAATCTGAGTGGCTGTGAGGATGGTTATGAGAGTGAAAATGCTTTCCTTCCTGTACTTCTAAAGCATATAAGTGAGAAACATGATCATGGCCAATATCATCATGATTTATCATCACTACTTTTACCTCTCCTAAACCAAGGCTTATTAACAGTTTTTCCAGGCCAAAAAAAGATAATCTTCCATTTTCACCGTAACGATCAAAAATCTTTTCAATGTAGTATTTTTGTTCATTTTCAGCTTCCAACGTTGAAAATTTACTCGGCATAGATTCTGTTCCTCCACTCTGGAAGTACGATTCATTTGAGATCTGATAGTCATTATGGTAGTGTCCACGATCCTTTTTAGGACCATTGTTATGTCCATCTCCATGGCAATGATTGCACTGATGAAAGATAAATGTCAGCAAACAAATGATGCAAAATTTTGTGTGCATGTGTACCTTCATCTCTGTTTCCTACAAGAAACACAAGGGGAAGCACTTAGGTGTAAAAGCAATCTCAACACTTGTATTACATATCAGTCTGGTACTTATTTATGCCAATTGAATGGCTCACAAAACTTTTTATATATTGGCATTAAATGAATAACAATTGCAGTACTTTTATCAGTGTACTTTTCTTATCTAACAGTCAGATAGACTCTGTGTACTTTAGAGATGCTGTTTAACGTACAATACTTGCAGGAGGTGATTACAAGATTTACAGCATTTACAGTCAGTCATAACACTTTTGTGCATATATTCAGAGGCATCTATGCTTATGATAACCTATAATATAGAAAATCTTCTTAAAACCCAAGTTATAAAAGAATAAAAATTGTTTTAGAATAACAATACTGTATTTTCTTGTTCATAGGGGTGAGAGGTAGACAAGACAGTTGAAATCCCATGCATCATTTGTTCTCTTTTGTGCTGCTGAAGTACCTCCACTAAACACACACACTGCACAATTCCCTACTTTGAAATCAGCCATTACCAATTCAAAAATAAGATGTCATTAACCAACTTCAGTGTATTGCTTAAATGTTCATATTTTTAGCACTTTTACTTACATAGGCTCACTGACTTGAAAGATCTACGTGGACATTCATTTAAAAGTAAGGTTATATGGAAAACACCTCTTTATGCAACTCAAAAAATACTGTTAATGCTGACACTATCTAGCTTAAAGGAATTAATACTGATTTTTAGAAACTATATCACCAAGAAAATGTAGTTTTCAATTTAGTATTACATGTAAGAAACTTAAGATTCAACATCAGATTATGAAGAAGACACTGCAATAGTGTATCTTGTGTTTAGAGTTGAAAACAATTCATTATTTTACAAAATACGACAGCTGTCCTGTTTACATCTGCTAGCAAATATATATATATATAACATCGGAATAAGTATTATAAACAAAACTTAAGAAAAAAATCCAAGTGTATGTAAAAATGTTATCAAACTAGAAAACTAAATATAAGCCAAGAACTGTACTTTATAACTTCTATTTTCTAGAGACTTATTTTGGGTAGAGAACAACTTTTAAAATGCATGTTTTCTTTTTAAATACATAATCATATAAACATCGCCAGGGTTTTTTAGAAACATTTAATTTGTTCTGCTTGGTACCAAGCCAAATAAAATGTGTAACATTCACAACAGTTCTGCTAGATAACTGTAGTAGACAATCCAGCCCTTCTATCAGCAAAGGAGCAGACAACAAAAAGAAAGTAGCACAGAGCTTCCAAACCAATCTGAACAGCCACAGGATGATTAAGAACAGTTTAATGGGATTGACTAAAATAGACAAAGGAAACAAATACAGAAGTAGGGCTTTTAAATTAAAATATGGCTGATAAGGAAATCAGAGTTGAGAGAAAGGACATGGACAGAAGGTCCATCCACCCTGTTTTCTGTATACTCTGATGCTACCAAGACACTGCAGCAAATGCAAGGATGTAAGAAAACAGCAAACAGGGCAAGTATGGCTTAGTCTTTTAACACTGACAGTAGTTTTAGTTTCTTATGTGCAGCTTGACTAGAGCTGTCACTGACCCTCCATTCATAAAGACAAAAGTGACCTGGTGAACACACCCTAAAATGACACTGACTTTCAGACAAAACACAGTAAAATCAGTTGTCCTTCCCAAGCCCCCCACTAACTAAAATGTGCTTCATGAAATTGTTCAGGAAAGTGATTTGCACCAAACCACAAATATTTAAAGTCCATCTTAATTTCCTAAAATACCAGCTTATTGTTTTGTGCATAATGACTGGTAACCACATTATTACACACACAGATACAGAAAACCTGTTGGAAGCTCCTATACTTGCAACAGGTAGGAAGAGAAAAGCACTCAAGAAAAACAGGAAAGGGATATGTTCTAATGACTTTATATAGCAAATAAATGAATCAACACAGAAGACTGAGGGGAAAAAGAAAATCTTTCTCCTGTAAACTTCTACAAATACAAAATATGAAAATTCAATTTTCACTGGAGTTTCAAATGTTTACAAAATTAAAAAAAGGCAGAACTGTCTTTTGCAATACTGTCCCACTTAAAAATGTAAGACCAGAAGACTATCTGTCAAATGGAGGCATCTGCATCAAAACTGGTTCTAGGGACCTCAGATAGGTCAATGGCTAATCATTGTACATTACTCTTTTATTTTTATAAATGACTGTTCAATCATCAGTCTGGAATAACTGTAGTTTGTCTCCAGCTCAATTACCTACATTCCAGTTACTGATTTAAGGGCTGTGACAAACTTTCTCAAGTAGTTTATCATGATGAGTTCAACCCCCAAAATTTACTGGGATATTATTTTCATAAAGTCTTTTTCACTCACAGGGTCTGTTGAAGGCATCCCTAATGTTATAAATACATCACCGGGATTAGTAAAAAAACATCAGAAGTCTCTCAAACATCTTCCAGAAGCTTTTTCCATTTTCCTCTGAGGAAACAGGTAAATGCTGGTACTGGTGGAGTAGAATGAAACAGGTTGCAAATCTTTATCCAAGAGTCACTGGACTGGGTCAGCCCTCAGACTGTATGATCGCCTGAAAACACCTTTAAATAAAGGACATATGCTTTTTCTTATGCAGGCTGAGAATCTGGACCCTGACTTACAGCATGCCAGGAAGCAGAAACATTCTGGCAGTAATCAGGAATATGACTGCTGACAGATCAAGACAGCACCACATTTCTTTAGGAATATGCTGATTTTCATCAACTGAGGATATACAATGTTGAACGTCACTTAATGTGAAGAGCAGGTTCAAGATCTGGAATAAGCAGTTAAGGCACAAGCAAGACCAATGAATGCCCTGGGAGAAAGGTGAACTTCTATGTGCTTGCACAGGAGATGGCAGCAACAGGTAAGTACATGCTGTTCACTGTAATGCTCCAGCAAACCGTTCAAGAAGCTTTTTTACTTCAGTTTCTCAGTACTGAAAACAGCATTTCAAGGTCAGGTAGAATTCAGTTACTCAGAGGATACTATTTTTTGTAGGCAAGACAGCTTTTCTCCCCCTTTGCCATATACTGGTAATATAACCAGAACAAGTCAAATTACTCTCATTTAAACAAGCACGATCCAGACTAAAATATCTCTGTCAGGAAATTCATGACTAAAGCATGATCGTAATCCTTTTCACAACCTCATGATCTTTTTCATGTGACTGTCTCATACAATACTACTAATACATTACTTGGAAACTTTAGTCATGCATCCCTAATTGTGGTGTTTAGCTTTGAATGGTACCTTTTCTCCATGCCCTAATGGCTAAAATAGATTGTGACCTATGATCATGATTCATTGCTGAAATACAAGAGCTGAGCATTATCAGACCAATTTCAAATTCAAATACTTGTCTCACTATTTTCAATTAAAATAGTAATAACCCTAGCACAATATTTTTGATCTTTATTATATCATATGTTAGGTCTTCTATTATGTAATATCTTGTACCTTCTATTGCAATTCTTGTTAGAGAACAAAGATGCTTACAAAATACATATACCCATAATAAAAAGTCTCAAAAAGAACAACCATAAAGAGTTGATTATTTATTTGTTTCTTTTAAAATAAGCTTAATTATTCTCTAGGTAATTATAAATAGCTGACATGTTTAACCTCTCGGGCAGTGTTTGTACGTGTAAAATACTGGAAAGCTGAAGTCCAAATTCTGTACATTTCAGTGGCACAAAATTCTATATAGCTGATCTCAACATAGGAACATTAAGACTCTCAAATCCCTTCAAGAGAATATGGAAGGGCAGCCTGAGGACAAGGCTACACCAAAGTTTAAAAAGGTTCTGCCCATTCCTGCTGTCAGCCTTTGCCTAATTCTGTTCACTCCTTTGATTCCCTGCTGCCTCCCCTTCTTCCCTCCACAGCTCTTTGATGGGCGGGCACCCAACACAGGGGAGATACAAGGGAAAATATCTCCTGGATGTTGGTAAGAAACTACAGCACTGTAAAGGGCAGGGCTGGAAACAACAGCACCTGCCATGTTCCACTGAGCTGCAACACGAGACCTTCATGACACCTCAGGCAGCAGGACAACCCCACCCTAACACAAGCTCCAAAGTTAGAACAATGTGTACATGTGGAAAAGATGAACAGTGTGCCCTACCAGCAGGTATTTCAGAAATGGCTCACAGTGCTGCCCAGTGCACCCCCTCCCCATTCATCAGGGCAAGCAGATCACTCACACTAAATGCAGCATGACTGCACGTCCATACACAAGACTTTTATATCAGAGGCTTGAGGTCACAGTACCTGAGCAGTACATAAGCAAAGAGTTACCTTCTCTGCATGGAAAACTCACCATACCTCTAAGCTAAACCACTGTCTGCCTATGGCATTTAATCTATTAAATTAAAGGTACCTCTGACAATAGTCGGGTTTAGTTTTGGGTTTTTTAAAAGCCTTTTTGATTCAATTTCCCTTGGATTCCTGAAACTTACCCGCAGTGCCTACTCTTTCAACTGTATTTTATTTATGACTTAGAGCATGGAATACGAACATGATTTTGGGTGAAATTTTTGTTTATCTATCAGCAACTGCTTCACTGAAACTAGAAAACTAGTTCAAGAGTTAGGCTTTACTTAAAACAAACTTGGTTTCAAATTATGTGGTCATACAAAATGCAAACTCAATTGAAAGCCACATCTATCATTTAGTGCTTGCAACCCACGTACTACAGCATTTTTGTTAGTGTACAATGCTAACTAGAATATTTTAAGTGCCCAACTTTCTTCCCCCAACCTCTTTTCTTGTCTGTTCCCAACAATTTTAATAACCTGAAATATTTGTAACAGAAATGCACTGATTTCTCCCCTTCCCATGCTCCTTCCCAAATTATTTCAGTTTCTCTCCCTTGTTGTTCAACTTTCTTTCCTTGTTTCGTCTGAAGAATGTACCGCCCATCTTTAAAAAACATCTTTGACTCCTCTAAATTACTCATCTTGAATGCCACAATAAGTAAAGTGTCTTAGCAATATTTCATGGGCAACTACAAGTTCCACAGCAAACACATGCTTCAGCTAAGGTAAGAGAGAACCCAGAAGGACAAAAGGTGTTAAAAATAAAGACAAAGCAATATTCTTACCAAACTAAGACATTCTCTCTGTTCAGCACTGAGAATTTAAGCACTTGCATAATTAATTTCTACTAAGAACTGCTCAGAGTAACAGCTCTGTGAGAAATGCCATTTTTTTAAAAAGAGAAATATTTCTTGAAATAAAGTTTCTGACTGCATAAGGATAGTTTTTCTTACAACTCTTGAAAATTTTAATGCCTTTCTATATTGCAGATATTCACTCCAACGTACATGCAGGAGAAATGTCTGCAGCACCCCTTCCCTTCGCCCCATCTCAAACTTGTATTTGGTTCAAAAAAAAGCCTGGAGTCTGAAAATCCAAAGAACCTACTCTTTATTTCCTAAATTTTACATTTTTAACAAATACTAGAATACAAAGTCCTATTAATCTAGCACACATTTTTAAGATAAATTATTTAAAAAAATATTAATATGAAATTAATACATGGTTGTTATTGAAAGACATTTTAAGAAAGCCATAACATTTTAATTAAATAACAATCCCTTTGTGTTTTATCAGTCTTAAACTGCCATTAGCTTCTGCATATACAAATGGGAAAACATGCTACAGATCCAAAAAGTGAAAATTAACCATTTCTAACTTTAGTTCTCACCCATCTCCTGTATTTTCTTCCCTCTTCAATTTCAGCGAAACAAGTTTGTGGATTTAAGTAAAACTCATTCATTTGAAAACCTACAGCCCAGTAGGAGGGGCACTTTGTAAGAACAGACCTTTAACTAACTGATCCAAGCCCTATTTGCTAAGTTAATACCAGATAAGACTTAAATAGTACAGAAAGCATTTATGCATAACTGAACACACCACGAAAACTTTAAAAAAATCTCAGCTGGGAAGTATTTGAAATGCAAAGTCCCAAGCAAACTAGAAAAGGATTCTAAACCAATACAGTAGCAATCTACTAGGTCAATTATCCAGATAGGGGCATTTATTTTATTTGGAATGGATAAAAAAATGGACAGCCTTTTTCAAAGGGACAGTTAGCTATTTGTAAGAAATTGCTGAGAATGGGCTCTTTCTCAGAGCTCACAAGAATATAAAAACTTCACAATAGTTGGAAGCTCTATAAGTATTAGTTCTTCTTACCAAGAATGAATTTTCAGTCTTTCATATAGGAACTGTACGCAGTCCATAAAACAGCTCTTAATGCACAAAATCTATAACAGAGCTAGCTTGCTTTTGTGCCAATATTCTACTGTTCAACTGATATCAAAAGATACCAACCAGAGCTTGTAAGGATGAAATACTTGAAAGACAATCCAGTTACACCTGCATTTTAATATGTAATTTTTCTACTGAAAGTAAGCAAATGTTTTGGTTAGAACTAAGGCTGATGTTCAAAGAATATTTTAAGACAGCGTTGCACTTAAATCAGAAGTTCTGCCCTCCCCCACTGCTTCACTCTTCATTCCCATTCCCACAAAACTCATTTTTGTATACCAGCACATTTGTTTGCTGATCTGTTCGCTGTGCAGCTGTACAACTAGATTCTGCTGAAAAATAGCCTAGAAAAAGAAAAGAAGATTATTTTCAAGACAGATTACTTTTCCTATCTGGTTCACTGTGCAGCTGCACAAACACCACAGTCCACACAAAAAAGAGCCACCTTGCTTTAGGTGGGAACACCAGTTACTGATCTTCAGTCTAACAGAATATTTTGATCTGGCACAAATAAAACAACTGGCCACCTCAAAATGTACTCAAATAACAATGAAAAAGCAACACTGGACATATTTCCTACTGAAAGCTTTCCCTTCAAAACAGAATATAACAATGTTTCCAATAAAGTGTTAAAACCAGTTGCAGTAATTTTATTCTTACTATAACTTAAACCACTATAACTATTTCATCCTTGCATTATGATATAATACTTGTGGTATGTTAAAAGGCATGTCTTTGATGTGTGTTTAATACCTGTACTATTATAATAAGAACCCTTCTATCACAGCTACAATCCAAAAAGGAATGATGCATGTCTACTATTAAGCCGATGACTTCTCTCACTTTAAAAACACATAAAAATAAATTCACAAAATCTATCAATCATGAAAGTCCACCGAAATATGGAACGAACAAATGCTTCTCTTACATGTGCTATGCCAAATTAGTGCCTGGCTGACTATGAAGGCCATTTCTAGAATTAAAGGGTTTCAAATACTTTACTTGACAACGTATACCATTGACTCATATCTGCATTTTTTAATAGATTTAATTAATGAACCACCATCACAGACTTTAATAAGGCCTTCTGTCAACATGCCATTCAAATTCTTGTTAACAAATTTATTCAGTCAAGAGTACAAACCAGAAGGACTACTACAAAGACAATAGGCAGCTACTGGAACCATTCACATCTTGAATCAGTGGGCTCCCAAATTTGTCTTTGTTCACTAACTGTGAGAGACAAAAGTGTTCATGAAGATGTCTTGGCAAATTCAGAAGTAACATTTACCCTGTCTGACACATGACATGAAATAGTTTTACATATTTCAACAGGCAAATCCGCCAAGACAATGCCCAGCTGAACCAATATGTGTCATGTTCACCACAATCCTAGTGAGACCTCAACAGAAGTCATGACATTTTCTAGCTCTCATTTATTTTAGCCAAGATTATTCTGAAAGATCTACATGGCTACTCATAACAGGTCTGTGTGATGATTGAAGCAACCATTCAAACTGATACAAATACTGACTGGCTTCAAAAATCACTTACTATGCACTACTAACCTTTCTTAACAAGGTATCAAGAGAATTTTGATGGGACAACTTTAAGGTGAAATAGTGAACATATATTAATACCCAAGATTACTCTTAGTGTAAGATTAGAGACAGAAGAAGGGAAAGAAAGCACAATCCTTAGAGCCTTAACCTAAAATGCAAGCAGAGATGGCTTCTTAGTCAACCAAATTAGAAATACTGATAGGCTAAAATTGCAATCTTAAAAATGTCATTATATAGATGTACTTCCCTGTGTGCATCAGCTTGCAATTGCAGGTACATTCCAACAGCAATGCAGACAGGTAAGGACAGATTCTATGGGAAGTGGGGCTGTGTTTGCAGTGTTTCTGAAACTACACTGCGATGAGATCTATCCAACCTACACTGCAGTGTGTAGCATCATAATTTGATCCAATATGAGTTCCTGGCTTTTGCAGTACCTGTAATTTGGTACATACTTCTTCTAGTGCCTCTCCTGAAATATAGTTTTTCTTGAGGGTAATTTTCTTCCTTTCATTATAATTTTAATTACAATGATTTTCTGTTGACTAACTGTTGATTTGGTTTAATATTAGCGTGGTCACCGCCTTTCTCAGTGGGATCACTGGGCCATGAATGTTTCCTGTGTCACTCCCTGGATCACTGACATCTTTCATCTTCATTGATTATTGATGCTAATGGGGCTTTCTTCGTTTTACATGATCCTATTAGTTCTCCAGACTCTGTAATTTCCATAACCCAATTCTGTAAAGAAAGAATACTTTTTACCAGGAACCTATTACTTCAACAGATCCTCCTAATTATGTGAAACCTGTCTATTTTAGTTAATATGCAAATGAACCAACTTCTGATTTTTCCAGAATTAAAATTTGAAATTGGTTCTACTGCCATATTATGGTACAAGAAACAGTTTAAAAAAAAATTAAAAAAACTACTTGCTGTCTCTAACATTTAATACAAATGATCAGTAAGTGTATCTCAAAACAAATCCAGTAATTTGAAAGAATAAGACTATTCTGACTATGCAAGAGGCACATTCCACAATGGTAAAATATTTGTAGTTGTTCTCTTTTTGATGAACAGAAATGGTCTGGCAGCCTACCACTGACATTATGGGTTATCAAATTTCTCAGAGAAAGGTGTTTTATGCTCTTTGCCACTCATAGCTGGAACAAAATGAAAACTGGCATCTGCCTCTAAAATCAAAGAGTCAATAGTTAGTTGTGACCTTTATGGGTTCAACTTCAAAAATATTTGAGAATCACAGAATGTAAACATGAGATTCTGTAACAAATGCTTTAATGCTCCACAGAGTCAACATTTTCTGTTAAAAATATCCTCCCTCCTTCCCTCTCCTTTTGCTACTGTAATTACGAGTACCTCAGACCCTCCCAGTCTGCTGAGCATATCACAGCCAGATTACAAAATACTTACTGAGATCATATTACAACTATCCAAAGGAAATGCATTATGTAAACAGGGTTGCACATCTTTTCTATAAAATCAAGCCAAATAAAAGTACTGTATTTCAAATTACATGTTTAACTAATTAACAGACTACAGAACAGACCTGTGGTAGAAGATGGTTTAAACCATCAGGATAAACTGACAGAAACTAAAGTGATACACATCAGCAAAATTAAAAACTACTACTGGAAGCATCAGTTAAGAATCAAGACAAATACAGTCCATCTACACCTCCAAACTTATTTTAACATAAAAAATAGCTCAGTTTAAAATATCATTAAAAAGTGTGGGAGTTTAATCCTGAGAACAGACAAAGTTTTGATTCTAGTTAATCACAGCTGAAGAAACCTAAACACTTGTGTGCTGCTAAAAAAAGCCAGAGGCCTCACTTTTGTTATTTCTAGATCACTAGAATAACATGCTATCATTTAGCAGGACACTTCATTGCCAGGTTAAGGAGTTGAATAAATACTGACAATACTTCAATGGCCATTTGTCATCCACATCTAGGAATATTATACAAACACCCCTGACCAGAGATCTTCTCAATATAGGGGGAAACCTCATAACCTGATTCCAGAATAATAAAGGTTGAAATGCCTTTTTTTCCCAGAAATTTGGCAAGGCTAACAATATAGCCAATCTTTGACCAGCATAACTGTGTCCTCAAAGGAAAGCACAACAAATAAGTGAAAATACAAAAAAAAAAATTTCCAACTTGATACACTAGGTTTATACATTTCTGATTACACTACATGTACTTTTATAATGTAAATGTAATGTTTAAAAACTATATTACTGGTAATATGTAAGGCAGAAATGTTAAGGATCTTGCTTTGCTTATTGTCAAGAAAAGTAAAACTGAAGCAAACCATAACTGCACGTACAGAATAAAAAACTGCAGAGCACACGAGGTATCATTGTGGTATTTCACTGTTTTTCAATCACTGCTCGGAACTACGACATGACATATTTGATAAGGTATGGACAAAAATTCAGCAAAAAATGTGGTTTTTTTCATTGTTAAAATACATTCCTTTTATGTGAAGAACAATGTACTCCTCTAGATGTTCCACTTTGAGAAGACTTTGTTTATAAAATTCAACTAATCCCTTGCCTCTCATGTCCACATTCTAAATTTATTGTTAATAATTAAGCTACAATAAGAGAGAAAATTCCAGCAAATTAATTTATTTGCAGAAACTCTCAGAATTTTCCACAAATAAGTGACAATTTGCCCTTTTCAATTTTATTACTACCTTAAGAACACAACAGCAGTATGTCGCCGTATTCCAAAACATTATTTTGATTTGTCCATAGTCCAATCAACAAAACAAAAAACATAACAAAAGCCCCCCAAAATTAAAATATTAAATCTATACATTTTTAAGGGGTTGTTGGTTTAAACTATATGACAAACTGAGAGGTGTTCCTATGTGCCAAAGCCTAAATGTATCATAATACAGTCTTTCATTAGACAAATGCAGACACTTAGCACTGACAAAATAGCCCTTTTTTAGGGAATACAAGACCAAGTATGGTCTTCAAAGACAGTTAAAGTATTTTACATCACCTAGCATAACTATAATTCATTTGAACCACAAAGTTTGATACAGAGGAAATGGAATAATAATTTGCTATAGTTGCTGCATTCTTATTAAAGCTTCTCATCTTAATCTGTTCTTTTAAGAGTCATATAAACCCCTCACCTACCTCTCCCTACTACTGAACACATACAGTTAGCAAAAGCCAGCATAAGAATTTTTGTCTAGAGCCACTACAAATGAACTTCTCTGACTCTGTACCTCACTCTGCAGGAGCAGATACCCTGAGATTGGCTGAGCTGGTCAGAGATTAGCTCAGCTGGTCAGAGCACGGTGTTGAGAACAGCAAGTTGTGAGTTCGATCTCCACACGGGCTTAAGAGCTGGACTCCATGATCCTTGCTGGTACCTTCCAACTCAGAATATTCTGTGAATTCCAGATGCATAAATTTAGACCACACACTTTACAAAACTCTTATCTGGAGTACAAAGACAGTAACTCTGTGAAAAAATAATTAGCTCTGGGCATACTACAATGAAAAGATAAATTTTGTATATACATCCTGCTACAACTACTGTGTGTTTACTGAATATATGGTCTGAGAGCAAGTGGACACTGCTAATTGACTCTGCTAGACAATTGCCTCAAAACACATTTCAGAACAGGAATGACGAACAGTCCTGTTTACATATCATATCAGACATCAAATAAATGGAAATATTTTATTTTTAGCATCAAAATGCACTAATGCAAGGCTACCACATTATCTGGACTGCAGCGAAGTAGCATTTCTTCTTTTAATGTAATCTAGTATGATTTAAAATTGTACCTTCAGGCTGAGATACTGTCTCCTATAGACTGATATTCAGGTCAGCACAAAAAAATGCTTCTATATTCTGCAAAAAGAACTAGTCAATATATATGGCCTAAATGATACTGTTTGCATTTCATGGAATGAGAGTACTTATCAGGGCAGTGAAGCCCTGACGAAAAGAGGTCTTCCTTGGCAGGAATGGATTACAGAAACTGCATAGAGTCTTGAGAAGTAATGTAACCACCAGGTGAAATATAGAATACAACATTCCACTTGACAGTAAAGAAGTTCTTCTGGACTGCTGTGTAAGAATGAATATGAATGAAGCACTGCCTACAGTGGCAAAGACTTAAGATACATCCCTACTCACTACTCTCCCTTACAGAAATACTCAGTTGTGGCATTATCAGTTATTCTGCAAGGTGAATTGAACTCAGCTTTCAGTTGAACAAATGACATATGGCTACCATAACAAAAAAACCTAAAACCAGTCATCCTAGGATACAGTGCTATTCAGTTCTATTTAAAATGCAAATCAATATTAATAAAGAGATAAGTATTAATAAAAAAAAAAATCCACATCAAGAATCATGTTGAACAATGTCTATTCAAAGAGACTACCTTGAAGATTACATGTATTTTTCCTTTGTTACATCAATCTCAGTATGGCTGCATTATTATCAGCAGTTAGCTTGGTTAAAAGAGGAACTATTTATAGTTATCAAATCACCAGCTGTAAATAATTTATCATTTAGTTATCTTTCAGAATTCAAGGTTATTATATTTGCCCATTAATAATCATCACACTAAAGATCAGTCTATGAATAAGGTGCAAGTTAGGTAATCTTGAGATATCTATCTTTACATATAAGCTGTATGACAGCACCTGTCTGGAATTCGTGTTTTATTATAGTGGTCTTTACTAGGAACTGTGATTGGAAACTATTTCTAAAGCATTTAAAGCCTACATGCAGAAACACTGCACAAAGTCTCTGTTGAGTATATATACTATGCTATGCAAATTCTCCAATCTTGAATAAAACTTCTTTCATACATTCTTAATCTGAAGAGCATTTTATCTCACATATGAATTTTATCTTACCTAAGTAACCACAGGACTTGGATTGATTAATGGCTTTCAGACATGATCATAGTTTTACATCAACTTCCGGTATTACACAGATTTTATCTCAATTCTGGATTGTTTTATCTACCTAATATCAGTGACTTCAAAACCATGTCTCTTTATCACCTCAGCACCAATGCTTACAGAATACAATTTTCTGTACCTCTTAACAGTCCAGAAACTATAGAGCTCTAACTCCTCTCTAGTTAATATTCCACATTTTGTATATATATGATACATTGATTAATACTGAAATGTGACTGTCAACACAGAAGAAAAGGAGGGGCAGGTTTCTTTAGCAAACTTCATGAGGCTACAGCCAAGGTGGCAGCCACAGAATGAAGCTTCTGGGTCATCGACAGCTGAGAGAAAAACCACAACTGCTGAGTCATTCCTTCTCTGCAGCAATGGACAAAGCCAGGAAATGGAGAGAAGATGAGGCAGCACAATGTGATATCTAGAAGATGAGAACATTTCCAGTGAAATGAACTGTGTCCCCCAGTATGGGTGTAACACACTACGCATAATTCCAACATCCCTTCTTCCCGTAAGCTTTTGAAACCGACATGAGGAAACAATCATCTTCCAAGTCTTTCATGCTTCCTTCCAGCTTTCTGGGTATTAAAACCTGTACAGACTTTGGATTATCACAAGAGGTAACAAAACAAAAGTGACTGGAAAAAACTTTACTCCTCAGATTTTTATTACATCAAAAAACGTGAGAGAAATGGTACTGATTCAATAGCATATAAAATATTATGAATAGGTGGACTGATGCAGGACGTATCTTTCCTTCCTTTAGGAGATTACAATGTAGGCAGGACATGGTTTCCAGCATTTCAGTTTTTGAAACTTCGAAAAAAATTCTTTTTATCAGCTTAGCCTAACTGGTACACATTTCCTTACCAGACTTTATTAGGTGTATTTCAAATATCTCAGTTGCAATTTAAGAATGACCTAAGAACGATCTAAATTCTTTCTGCATCAAGTGCTGTTACTTCAGGCCTTTATCAGCAAGACAAAATTACTACTTCTCATTTAAGATAACTTCAGTAGCCCACCTGCAAAGATGAATACTTTTCCTATGATGAAATTGTTTTAAATAATTGCTCTCAAAATTAAGTTGGACTCTCACAGAAAAAATAGGAAGTTATACTGATTTTCTTCTTACTAGGAAAACAGAAATTGCTTCCCAAAAGGCATAAATTCTCAGTATTCACAAAACTTGCCCTGCACCTAAAGCTCGATCATGTAAAAAGCATACCTGCCAAGGTTTCCTTCTCTGAAACTTCTACTGACGTTTTTCAACGTGTTAGGAAAAGTCAAGATGCATTCGACAATTCTGAAACCATGCCATAAAATAACACACCATGAAACAGCAAACGTTCTGACAGCTCATAGTCACTGTGAAGGAAACGGAATGAGGTTTTCTTGTTCTGGTATCAGTTTCACTGGTGACACACGCAGTTACATCTGTCCGTCCTGATACTGTGCAACAGTTTGTACAGATGCCACTGAGTTTTGCCACAGTGAAGGACTGAATTGTAACTTAACAGAAAAACTTCCATGGAGTTTATCTTTTAATTAGCTTATGTAATTTTAACTCAGTAATTCCACCTAATCAGAAAACATAAATATTTCAAACCCCAGACTGATTTACCTTATCACCGATTAAGTGCCCATAAAATAAAATAAACTTCCACTTCTGTAAGAACTGTGACAGAGACAGGAACAACAGTCTTTATAATAGGCACAATCATGATCAAACGACATTAAAACTGGACAGCCAAGGCAAACAAGTCCAAACATACTTCCTTTGGGACTATATACACCCAGGCTAGAAGTTCATGTGAACTGGGCACTAGTTAAAAGGTCTCTTCATACTTGAATCAGCCATTGCTTTGCAAAAAATGTATTATGAATAGAAATAGCTAAATTACAGTTGCTTGACTTACTTAATGAAGACCACAAAGGACATCTATGCCAAGTTGGATATATTAATTTTTTCACGTGCATATATTTATGTTGCTTGTGCAAGTCAAACTACATGAAAAGTATCTTACCAAGGCGTGCTCCTGAACATTCAAAAGGAATGGTTTATTAACATACAAGGCCCAAGTACCACAGGCACTCAGTATTCTCCTGCTGACTTTTCACATGTAATTCTAGAAGATGGATACTGTCACATCACATAAATCTTAGTTTGAGACCACCAATTTCTAAGCACTGTAGTAGATAATGGTCAGCACCACAGTCTGTGCTTTTTCACATAAACTTTCTGGAACATGCCTGAATCACCCTGATGATCCAATTTCATTAGATTATTTCTTGCAATGGGAAAAACAAGTTGTAAGACAAAGCCTGTGAGCATATTTGCACTGCTTTAAACCACAACTTTGCTGTAATTGCACATTTTATGATTGACTGGATACATGTTGCAAACTTAGTACCTGGTTTTTATTTAAGCCAATCTGGAAACCACAAAGACCTACACAAGTATTAACTAAAACAAACCTCATTGTTTCGGAGAATTTTTCTTGTGAAGCCAGAATCTCTTCTCATGTTGCCTATTCCAGACAATTGTGTATGATTCTCTAGGTCCACCCTCTGTGGACACTAAGACACATCCCCATATGGAACTGCCACTATTAATCTCATCAAACATACATGATTAATTCACAGTCTACAGATATACAGACACACATACAGGCCTAATCTCCTTTAGAAATAGAATCCATGGCTGCATACTTTTTTTCTCAAAAGTTTAAGTTGAAAGCAGTTTAAAACAGAAGTGCTGCAGGAGAGTATCACCAATTCTACTGTAACCATTATTACAGAACAGAAATTTAATTAGTAAAGTCTATTGAGGCACTGGTCATGTTCTTGGAAACCACAGAGCTTTTTCACGTTATTTTCTTACATTATCAGACCAGTGTATTAGCCTAAATAGTAACCATTAATAAGTCAAATTCTTGGAGTTGAGTAGCGTTAGTCCACATCAAATACCTATTTCCCCCATGCAGTTAAAGAAGGCATCTTCTAAAGTAAAGAAAATAATTCTGTTAAAATTGAATTTTAGAAACCAAATCTGACACTTGTTTTACAAAGAAATAGTTTTCTTTTTTTTATGTCATTGTATCACTTACTACTACCCAAAGGGATACAAGAATATACCAGCTGGAACACACCAGGTATTACTTTCGTTAACTAGCTGACAATTGCTTCTGCTTGTCTGAAAACTAACCAGGCCTTCCAGTGTGCATTTCTCAGGCTTGAGGTTATCACAGGTTCTCTCAG